GAGCTCCGTCCAGAAAGCTTTTCAGCTCCTCGGAGAACACTGTGAGTGCACTCTCTTTTACACACACAAACACACACACACACACACAGAGAGAGAGAGAGAGAGAGAGAGAGAGAGAGAGAGAGAGAGAGAGAAGCAGGGAATCGCAATTGCCTCTCTCTGTCTCTGTCTCTCTCTGCAAAGGCAGAGGAGGCTGAGAGCCACATGGGAAGGCTCAAAGAGCCGCATGCGGCTCCGGAGCCGCAGGTTGCCGACCCGTGGTATAGGGACTCCTGCCTGGGCAGGGGGTTGGACTAGAAGATCTCCAAGGTCCCTTCCATTCTGGCTTGGATGTGTCTGTTCTGCTCTCGGTGCTTGAATTGCTCTACCAGCACTAGCTGGTCCCCGTGGAAGGCAGAATGCAGGGTATGGTACCCATAGAAGGGAAGTATTTTTGGTTTTATTGATCATTGATGCCTCCTGGTGGTCAATAGATTAAATGATTGGAAGAGTAAAGTGAAGGTATAATGGGGGCCAGAAGATGGTAAAGGACAGGAAGGCTTGGAGGAACGTTGTCCATGGGGTCACGATGGGTCAGACACGACTTCGCAGCTAACAACAATGGGGGGTCTTCTATCTAGACCAGGGGTAGGCAATCTTGGCTCTTTGCTGGCTGAGGAATTCTGGGAGTTGAAGTCCACAAGTCATAAAAGAGCCAAGGTTGCCTACCCCTGGACTAGATCATTCCCCTGCTATCCCCATACCATTTTGGACAGATGGCTGTCTGGTCTCTTCTTAAAAACTCCCAGTGTTGGAGCATTCATAGTTTCTGGAGGCAGGTGGTTCCACTGGTTAATTGTTCTCACTGTCAGGAAGTTTCTCCTTAGTTCTAGGTTGCTTCTCTCTTTGGTTAGTTTCCGCCCGTTGCTTCTCCTCCTGCCTTCAGGCACTTTGGAGAATAGCTTGACTGCCTCTTCTTTGGGGCAGCCCCCCAAATATTGGAATACTGCTAACATGTCCCCTGTGCATGGGGCAGGTGGCAGAGAGCAGGCAAAGAATGGAGGCACTTCCTTGGTCTCCCTGAAGTGACCCAAATGCTTTGCCCACCCCCAGAGACCCCCTGCAATCCTCCAAGCATCCCTGACAGGGTCTCTCTGCCCCGGGGCCTTGAGCTGCCTGAGTTTTGCCTGGATCCTTGAACCCCCCCCCCTTAGGAGAGACTGGCAAGATGAGGGGGAAGGAAGGAAGGAAGGAGGAATGGAGGGAGGAAGGAGGGAGGGAGGGAGGAAGAAGAAAGGAGGGAAGGAGGGAGATAAAAAGGAGGAAGGAAGGAAGGAGGGAGGGAGGGAGGGAGGGAGAAAGGAAGAAAGGAGGAAGGAAGGGAGGGGGAGGGAGGGAGGGAGGATGGAAGGAAGGAGGGAGAAAGGAAGGAAGGAAGGAGGAAGGAAGGAAAGAGGAAGGAAGGAGGGAGAGGGAGAGAGAGAGAAGGAAGGAGGGAGGGAGGAAGGAAGGAAGGAAAGAGGGAGGGAGGAGGGAGGGAGAAAGGAAGGAAGGAAAGAAGAGGAAGGAAGGAGGGAGGGAGGGAGGAGGGAGGGAGGAAGGAGGGAGGGAGGAAGGAAGGAAGGAGGGAGGGAGGGAGGGAGAAAGGAAGGAAGGAAAGAAGGGAGGAATGAGGGAGGGAGAAAGAAAGGAAGGAAGGAAGGAAGGAAGGAAGGAAGGAAGGAAGGAAGGAAGGAAGGAAGGAAGGAAGGAAGGAAGGAAGGAAGGAAGTTGAAGCCCAGCTCAGGGCCTTATTGTGTACAATCGCAAGGTGTGTGTGTGTGTGTGTGTGTGTGTGTGTGTGTGTGTGTGTGTGTGTGTTGCATCAACAGACTGGCACCTGCCAACATGTAATCACAGACTGGAGTTTTAGGAATGTATTGAAAAGAATTATATAGCTGCCCATCTTAGCCCCGTCTCTGGGCGGCTTCCATGAAAGGGGGGGGGAGTCGGCTGTGGCCAGGAGTGACTGGATGCTGGGTTCCTGCTGGGAAGGACAGCCAGGGGGGTGGGGGAGAGACCCTAGAAGCCCACCTCCCACAAAGGGCTTTCCGTCCTGGTTACCAGCAGATGGCCTGGCCTTTGCAGAAGGGGAGGGGGCAACTCTCCCCTCCCTTGAGTGACCAAGACTCGGAAGAAGCGGAGGAATGCCTCTTTAGCCTATTGACCGGGATTTATTTGGAGAGCATTTCACATTTTGCAGGAGGAGCGTTGATCTCCCCCAACGTCCGGCGTGGCTACTAAGCGCGGTAGGCCTCCACTTCACAGACGGTCAAGTAGTCCACCCTGGGTAAGTGGACACTGACGTAGCGGCCTCGCTGCCCATTGCAGTAGATGGTGGTGATGGAGCCCGGGCTGGTGTTCAGGATAGTCCCGCAGCTGTGGGCCAAGAGAGGTCATGTTAGGAGAGCAGCCCTCCTGGCCCCCACCTACCGGTCCCCCTAAGCTCACCCTGAGAACACAGCCCCCCCAAATCTTCAAGGGCAGCCCCCTTTCAGTAGCAGTCCAGACCTCTCGTCCTCTGCTGCCTCTGGTGTTGTGCCTCCTCATGTTCTGATGAATTGGAAGGGAAGACCAATGGAAGGGATTCCCCGGGGTGTGGTTTCCTAAAAACATACTTTGATAGCTCCCTCGTGCAACAGTTTCTCTAAGTGAAATACCGTGATCGTGTCCACCTTTCTTTGTGAGGTCCTTGGTGCTCTCTGAGCTGGGTGGGTCTCTTAAAGGTGTTTCATGACCAAAGGAGGTCACATCATCAGGGAGGATCAGGCAACACCAGGCCCTGATGACGTTACCTAGTTGGGTCATGAAACAAGAAAACCACCAAGCTCAGAATCCCGCAGTTCTCCTCCTCCTCCCCCTCCCCCTCCCCCTCCTCCTCTCCACAAACCCCACTTCTGTTTAGCACTGATGATGTTACCTAGCTGGGTCATGAAACGTCTGCAAACAAAAAAGCAATCTCAGAAAACACCAAGAACCCCACAGCTTTTCTTCCTCCTGCTCCTCCTCTCTGCAAACCCCCTCCCTTCTAACACTGACGATGTGACCTAGTTGGGTCATGAAACCCCAAGCTGCAAATATTCTCTTCTGTTGCCACCTTTATTTGCCACTTCCCTCTGCTGGTTTATTTTTTTACATCGGAGTGTAGCTCAAAAGACTTCGGGGGCACCTTCCCCACATCAAGGGCCTCTTTCTGAGGTGCAGTGACCAGAATTTTGTACAAAATCCAAGCAGAGGCAGCAGAGGTGGCCTCCTATCAGGAGCTTAACCCAGTTCCGAAGGAGCCCGTTGTCTAGATTTCTAACAGAAACGATAGCAAAAACGAACAATCAGGTGGCATTCACACAGAACCCCCCCCCCAAAAAAAACCTAATTGAGACCAGAACTTGCTCGATTAAGGGCTGGCCTCCATGCCACTGTCAGGCTCTTCCCTGTCTCTTGGAGCAGCGGGGAGGGAGCTGACCTCCCAATCTCCACAGCAAGGGAGTCACCACACCTGGGTCCCCAGGCCAAAGTCAGCACCTCCTTCTCCACAGCACCCCAAAATCAGCCACACTGGCTGTGGGTTCTCGGCGTGGGAGGCCCCAAACCCCTGGAGGACCCCAGTTTGTTTGTTTATTTATTTATTTATTTATTTATGAGACTTATATACTGCTTTTAAGTGCAAGCACTCTCTAAGCGGTGTACACCAGTAAGCAATGTATATATATATATTTACATTGCCCCCAACAATCTGGGTCCTCATTTTACCTACCCCGGAAGGATGGAAGGCTGAGTCAACCTTGAGCCGGTGAGATTTGAACCGCTGACCTGCTGAACACAGTCAGCTAAAGTGGCCTGCAGTACTGCAGTTTTAACTGCTGCGCCACCTCGGCTCAGTTGGGGATGCATTAAGGACTCCAGTCAACTTACCGAGGGTTGGACCTGCCGTGGTCCTTCAGAGAGTCTCCTAAATGGACCTCAGCTCTATACAGTCTTTCGCCACAGCAGTCCACGCGGTTTTTCACTATCACCACGGAGATTTTATGAGACTCTCCCAGGTCCACGTACCACCAGGGGTTTTTCTCCTTCTTGGTGTGGGTGCAGGATTTGTTGTACCAGTCCCCGTTGCAGTTCCCGTCCACGGCTTTGTCTGCTGAGCCAACGATGTCATGCTGGTGTATGGACGACTGCTGGGCCAGCTTCCCCCAGGCCAGGTTTCTTCCCTTTACACCTGCGGGGGGGGGGGAGAAGGGGGGGAGGAGAAGAAGAAGCAAAGGTGCAAAGTCCCCAGGGCCCCCTTTTTGTGGGGACTGGGGGGGGGAGTTTTGAAGGTGGAGAAAGGGGTGGAGAGAAGTGAGCAGAGTGCAATGCTCCGTGTCTTTGCTATTGGGGGAGGAACCCCCCCCCTTGGCCCTCTTTTTCCTCCTTCTCCAAATTGTCCTGAGAAGAACTGGACATCCTCACCATAGATTCAATGCGGCCTCAACTGAGTAGCCATTTAGCAGGTTTTTAATAAGAATAAAGTTGGAAGGGACCTTGGAGGACATCTAGTCCAACCCCCTGCTCAGGCAGAAAACCCTATACCATTTTGGACAAATGGCTGTCCAATCTCTTCTTAAAAACTTCCAGTGTTGGAGCATTCACCGCTTCTGGAGGCAGGTTGTTCCACTGGTTAATTGTCCTCACTGTCAGGAAGTTTCTCCTTAGTTCTAGGTTGCTTCTCTCCTTGATTAGTTTCCACCCATTGCTTCTTGTCCTGCCTTTGGGCGCTTTGGAAAATAGCTTGACTCCCTCTTCTTTGGGGCAACCCCTAAGATACTGGAAGACTGCTATCATGTCCCCCCTTGTCCTTCTCTTCGTTAAACTAGACATACCCAATTCTAGCAACCGTTCCTTATACGTTTTACCCTCCAGTCCCCTAATCATCTTTGTCGGTGAGATTTATCCCTGGGTATAAATACATACGTGATGGATATGGGAGATTGCACCACTGGAGACCCCGTGGGTCTCTGATTGGGCACACTGAGGAGAGCAAATATCCAGTTGGCCCAGCAGAGTCGGCAATTACACCATCCCCCACGCCAGCTTACAGTCTACAGCAGTTCGGCTGTTCAATTCTGACCAGCTCCAGCCTTCCAGCCTTCCGAGGTCGTGAGGACCCAGATTGCTGGAGACAATATATTGACCCTATAAACCGCTTAGATGGGGGCTGTAAAGCCCTGTGAAGTGGGATATAAGTCTACGTGTTCTTGCTAAATGCTATTGGTATTGATCTCCCCAGTTCTAACCCTAAATGTTGCATGGTAGGTGTTTGTGGAATAGAAAAATATAGAAGGTGCATCATAGAACGTAGAACCATAGAGCTGGAAGGGACCTCTGCTCAAAGTAGGAGACCTTATACGAGGGGTAGGCAACCTTGGCTCTTTTATGACTTGTGGTCTTCAACTCCCAGAATTCCTCAGCCAGCATGGGGGAACTATGCCCCCCTCATGACTAGTGGACTTCAACTCCCAGAATTCCTGATCCAGCATGGCTGAGATTGGAAACCTCTCCCTTTCCCCTCAGCATGGCCGGCTCATGAATTCTGGGAGTTGAAGTCCACCAGTCATAAAAGAGCCCAGGTTGGCTACCTCTGGTCTAGGAGGCTCACCGCTTAGAGCAGGAGGACTTAGGATAGGGGTAGGCAACCTTGGCTCTTTTATGACTTGTGGACTTCAACTCCCAGAATTCCTGAGCCAGCATGGGGGAACTATGGTCCCCTCATGACCGGTGGACTTCAATTCCCAGAATTCCTCAGCCAGCATGGCTCAGCTTGGAAACCTCTCCCTTTCCCCTCAGCATGGCTGGCTGTGGAATTCTGGGAGTTGAAGTCCACATGCCTTAAAATGGTCAAGGTTGAGAAACACTGGATTAGAATAACGGAAGGGACCTTGGAGGTCATCTAGGTTCTGAGGAGGTCTCTCAAGGATCCTGTGGCACTTTCTGGCTGTTCTTCCTGTCAAGCCACCGGGCACGGTCCCAAATATGTTGGAGGCTGCTGAATGTCCGTGGCGATTCTCCCTCCTCCAGGTCAGGGTTGTCCCAAAGGTGCTTTTGGAAAAGGCAAGTAGACTTTCTGTTTTGCCTTGGAGAAGTTGCGCTTCCCATCCAAAATTCTCCTTCAGCTCAGTTGGATGAGAAGCAAAATGTCTTCCAGGAAGAGCAGAAAGTCCACTTGCCTTTTGAAAAAGCACCTGATAGCTCAGAGGAGACTGGGAGGGGGGGGCTAAGGAGGCTTTGGAATGGCCAGGATTACAACGATATCTCTGTGCACGCCACGCATGCAGGTCCTCTGGTGGTTCTTACCGGTGGGCAAGGGTCTGCACCTCTGAGCTGCTGCAGGGCCTGCCAAGAGGGTCACGGCCAGCAGACATCCCCAGACGAGGCGAGCGATCATCCTGCAAGCAAGGAAGGGAGAGGTCAGGAAAGACGTGGCAGTGCCACGTAGGAACAATGGGCAGCTGGCTTCCCCAATCAGGCCTGGCCTTGGACCCAAAGGGAGGCTGGAGATAGTAATAATAATAATAATAATAATAATAATAATAATAATAATAATAATACCTTGACGTGGTTGTGGGGCTTGTGTACTCTGAGGAAGATGAGAGCTATGCCAGAGGTTCAACCATACTGGACAGGTCTCATCAGAGGAGTCAGACAAAGAGTGTCTCTCCCATAAAAAATATGGTGAGACGTAAATTTCAGAATGCCATACCGGCTCGGACGTCGCCCGGGTTAACAAGGTCCGCGCTAGATATTGGAGTTCCTGGATATCTGGTGAAAAATGGGTTACAGGACTCAGGACTGTTGGCTGAGCAACCAGGGCCAGCAGCTGCAGAACTACTGGAAGAAAAGGTGTTTACCCGTCGCAGATACACAGTGATGGAAAACAAAGAAATAATGATCTGTTACTACAGATCAAGTCCAACAAGACGAGGATATCTAAAACGAATGCACCAATTCTGGAAAGAACAACATCCAGAATCAGAAATAACAGAACAGAGACTAGCAGATCAACGCCGATTTATAACACGAAATAAAGTATTTACAGAAACAGAATTAGACGAACTGCAAAGGTTTACCCAGGGCAAAGAAATCAAAGCCTTACAAGAAGTAATTCAGAATGTAGAGGCAAACCAGGGGAGTTGGCAGTGAAGGAATCCAGCAGAGATATACAACTGTTCTCATTTGGAAACCAGGCACCTCTTCCTCAGGAAGAACAAAACCCTCTAACTAAAGAAATAAAAGAATTGAAACAAAGAATAACTGAGCATCTAGAACAGCACAAAAACAACAGAATAAGGCTGCCTGCATTGAAGCTTGTTCCAAAGAAACAGCTAGCACAAGCATTAAAAGATGCAAATACTGCAATAGCAAGTATAAGCACCAATTCACTGCAAGAAACAAACCAACTAATGTACAGCACAGCTGCAGTTATAACAGAATACCTGGGATGCAAAATCAACAAAAAAGAAAAACAAACAAACAGTGCACCAGAAAAATGGAAGGTTAGACTAGAAAATAAGATCAGCAAGTTAAGATCACATGCAAGCAAGCTAGAACAGATGAAAGAAAAGAAGCTGAAGAACAAGAAGACCAAAGAATACCTAATCAAGAAATACCACTTAGAAACAAGGAAGATCAAGGAAGCACTGGAAATAATAAAGCAACAAATAACAGCTATAGCCAGGAAAATCAGTAGATATGAAGCTCGAATTGCAAACTATAGGCAGAACCTCCAATTTCAATCCAATCAGAAACGTTTCTACCAATCCATCAATGGAGAAACTGCAAGGAATCAGTCAGTACCTGACAAGGAAGAAACAGTGCAATTCTGGAAGCAGATATGGGATAACCCAAAGAAATACAACAAGGATGCAGCTTGGTTAAAAGAGGTGGATGCAAATAAAACAGAAGTTGAAATGAAAGAACTAGTAATAACAACAAAAATGGTAGAAAAAAGAGCAAAGAAAATCAAAAATTGGTCAGCACCAGGTGAAGATGAACTGCATGGGTTTTGGTTGAAACATCTAACTGTTATACACCCACTCATTGCCAAGCAATTCAACAATATACTACAAGGAGGAGAAATTGAAAAGTGGCTAACAACTGGGAAAACCTACCTAATAATGAAAAATCCAGCAAAAGGGGCAACACCAGGTAACTACAGGCCAATTACCTGCTTACCAACAACTTTCAAATTACTAACTGGTGTGGTAGCTGATGCAGTACAACAGCATCTAGTTGAAAACAATCTCTTTCCACCTGAGCAGAAAGGAAACCGCCCCAATAGCAGAGGAACAAAAGATCAACTCCTAATAGACAAAATGATCTTGGAAAACTGCAAGAGAAGGAAGACCAACCTGAATGTGGCATGGATTGACTACAAAAAGGCATTTGACTCTCTGCCACATGACTGGATAATCAAGTGCCTAGAAATAACAGGAGTCAGTAGAAACATCAGAAAATTTGTGCAAAGATCGATGGCACAATGGAAGACACAGTTGCAGATCAATGGTGAGAAGCTGGGAGAGGTTAATATCAAGAGAGGAATATTTCAAGGAGATTCATTATCACCATTACTATTTGTTATTGCACTGTTTCCTCTGTCAACAATACTGAATAACTCAGGACATGGTTATCAAACATCAAAAACATCTGCTAGACTATCCCACCTCCTTTATATGGATGATCTGAAGCTGTATGGAAAAACATCATCTGAAATAGAATCGCTGCTCAACACTGTCCGTATATATAGCCAAGATATTGTAATGGAGTTTGGCTTGGACAAATGTGCCACACTTACTATCAAACAAGGAAAAATAGTGAAAACTGAAGGAATCAAGATGCCCCACGAAAATAACATTAAGAGTCTGGATGAGGAAGAATACTACAAATACTTGGGTATCCTTCAAGCTGACAACATCAAGCACACTGAAGTCAAGAAAAGATTAGAGGTGAATACATCAAGAGAGTGAAGAAGATCTTAAAATCCAAACTCAATGGAGGAAATACCATAAAGGCAATCAACACCTGGGCAATCCCAGTCATTAGGTACACAGCTGGAATAGTGGACTGGACTCAAGCAGAACTAAAAGCAATGGATAGGCAGACCAGAAAAATAATGACAATGAATCACGCCCTTCATCCACGCAGTGACATTGATAGACTTTATCTACCAAGGCAAATAGGTGGGCGTGGAATGCTACAAGTACATCAGATGGTTGAAGAAGAAAAAATGGCTTTGGAAGAATATCTGAAGAACAATGATGAAGATGCACTGAAATTAGTATATCAGGAAGGCTTACTAACTACTGGAGAGACCAAACTGGCCTACAAGAAAGACCAAATGAAGAACAGAATAGAGGCATGGGAAGACAAAGCACTACATGGCCAATACATGAAAAAAATAGCTGGGAAAGCAGATAATAATAAAACCTGGCAATGGCTAAGAGCAGGAAAATTGAAGAAAGAGACCGAGGGACTAATTCTGGCTGCACAAGACCAAGCCTTAAGGACAAATGCATACAAAGTCAAAATTGAGAAGACAGCAACAGACAGTAAGTGCCGCCTATGCAAAGAAGCTGAAGAAACAGTGGACCACTTGGTAAGCTGTTGCAAGAAGATTGCACAGACTGATTACAAGCAGCGGCATGACAAAGTAGCAACAATGGTGCATTGGAAGATCTGCAAAAAATATCATTTGCCTGTAAGCAAAAACTGGTGGGATCATAAAATAGAGAAAGTCATAGAAAATGATAAAATTAAACTGCTCTGGGACTTCAGAATTCAAACAGACAAGCACCTGCAACATAACACCCCAGACTTAACAATTGTCGATAAGAAAGACAAAAAAGTCTGGATAGTGGACGTGGCAGTGCCTGGAGACAGCAGAATAGAAGAGAAAGAACTGGAGAAGATAACAAAATACAAAGACCTACAAATAGAAATAGAAAGACTGTGGCAAAAGCAAGCAAGGGTAGTACCAATAGTCATAGGCTCCTTGGGCGCAATCCCAAAACAACTGGAGCACCACTTGAACACCATTGGCATTGACAAATTTGCTATTAGTCAATTGCAAAAGGCGGCCTTATTAGGAACTGCTTCCATCCTGCGACGATACCTGTAATACCATCAAACATCCACATCTGCCTATCCCAGGTCCTGGGTAAGGACTCGATAGGTAGACAAAATGCCAAATCCAGTCTGAACATCTGGCTGACTGTGCGATGATCGATAATAATAGTAATAATAAAAGAGACCGAGGGACTAATTCTGACTGCACAAGACCAAGCCTTAAGGACAAATGCATATAAAGTCAAAATTGAGAAGACAGCAACAGACAGTAAGTGCCGCCTATGCAAAGAAGCTTAAGAAACAGTGGACCACCTGGTAAACTGTTGAAAGAAGATTGCACAGACTGACTACAAGCAGCAGCATGAGAAAGTAGCAACAATGGTGCATTGGAAGATCTGCAAAAAATATCATTTGCCTGTAAGCAAAAACTGGTGGGATCATAAAATAGAGAAAGTCATAGAAAATGATAAAATTAAACTGCTCTGGGACTTCAGAATTCAAACAGACAAGCACCTGCAACATAACACCCCAGACTTAACAATTGTCGATAAGAAAGACAAAAAAGTCTGGATAGTGGACGTGGCAGTGCCTGGAGACAGCAGAATAGACGAGAAAGAACTGGAGAAGATAACAAAATACAAAGACCTACAAATAGAAATAGAAAGACTGTGGCAAAAGCAAGCAAGGTTAGTACCAATAGTCATAGGCTCCTTGGGTGCAATCCCAAAACAACTGGAGCACCACTTGAACACCATCATCGGCATTGACAAATTCGCTATTAGTCAATTGCAAAAGGCGGCCTTACTAGGAACTGCTTCCATCCTGCAACAATATCTGTAATAACATCAAACATCCACATCTGCCTATCCCAGGTCCTGGGTAAGGACTCGATAGGTAGACAAAATGCCAAATCCAGTCTGAACCTCTGGCTGACTGTGCGATGATCCATAATAATAATAATAATAATAATAATAATAATAATAATAATAATAATAATGTTGGAAGGGACCTTGGAGGTCATCGAGTCCAACCCCCTGCTCAGGCAGGAAACCTTACACCATTTCGGACAAATGGCTGTCCAGTCTCTTCTTACAAACTTCCAGGGTTGGAGCATTCACTGCTTCTGGAGGCAGGCAGTTCCACTGGTTAATTGTTCTCACGGTCAGGAAGTTTCTCCTTAGTTCATTAGTTTCCCTCTGTTGCTTCTTTTTTTTTATTAAAAAGTTTTTTTATTAATAAAACAGTTAAAACAAAAAAGGACATAACGTGTCATTCCAGTATATATAATCCTAACAATTTGTTCCTCGTCATACTTATAATTCCTAATCTCTATATATACATATTTCAAGGTCCCGCCATTCTCCCAGAGGACCACCAAGAGCATTCCTGAAATGGATCCTCTGACTTTTTCCTCACCTGGCCTCGCCGAATCCCATTGAAAAAACCAAGGTGGGTTTACTGCCGTCTCTTTCTCATCTGCCCACTTTCTCAGGCCAGGCCATAATTCCCACCCCGCCCTTTTTCAGCCGGTCACTCGGTGGCTGGTTTTTCCTTCTTTCCCCACCACTCACCTTCTTTGGCGATGTCCAAAGGTCTGGATGTTCCTTCCTGGAGGGTGAGCAACCACAGCTTCTTTCCACCTGACAGGTGCTTCAGCTGAGCCCTGGACCTCCCTCTGGCCAGCCCTGGTTTTATCCCCTTCCTCCTGGGGAGGTCCAAGCCAATCAGGGGGGGGGGCCACAGCAAGAGTTGGCCAGGTCCCAACTCAGGTGGAGCTTCAGGTCTAGCTTTGCCACAAGATCGATCACCAAATACGGTCTCCTCTCCTCTGTTTCCACCACCGTGGCCCGTCCTAAAGTGGTGTTGACTCTGCTGCTATGGATGAAATGACACTCGGTTTTGGAGCAGGAAACGCTGCGTTCCCGCCCAGCTCACAAGCCCACAAGAAGCATTAAAATCAGTGAGTGGGCACTAATCAGTTCTAGATCTGAATCTGTCCCCAAATGGGAGGCATAACTTTGGTAAGATTTGAAATGCTCCATTGATTTCCCCCCCCCCTCTCTCTCATACACAGAGAGAGAGAGAGAGAGAGAGAGAGAGAGAGACGCACATAGAGAGAAAAAACACACAAACACGCACAGAGAGAGAGAGAGAGAGAAAGAGAGAGAGAGAGAGAAAAACACGCACATAAAGAGAGAGAGAAAAACACACACAAACACACACACACAGAGAAACACACACATAAAGAGAGAGAAAAAACACACACAAACAGAGAGAGAGAGAGAAATACGCACATAAAGAGAGACAAAAAAACACACACAAACACAGAGAGAGAAAGAGAGAGAAATACGCATATAAAGAGAGAGAAAAAAACACACACAAACACACACAGAGAGAGAGAGAGAGAGAGAGAGAGAGAGAGAAACACACACATAAAGAGAGAGAAAAAAACATACACAAACACAGAGAGAGAGAGAGAGAAAGAGAGATTGGATTTTACAAGACCTCTGCATATTATGCATAGAATAGGGCCATCCTTTCACTGGGGCTATTTGCTTAGTGCTAAAAAAAAAAATAGATCAAAAGCAAAGTCGACTTTTCAAAAATCTCGGATGCATCAGCTGAACCAGGGGTCTCCAAAGCCCCAGACTTGACAACTTTAAGAGTCGTAGACTTCAACTCTCAGAGTTCCCCAGCCATGCAAAATCACTGGACAAAGCAATTATGCTGGGGAGAGTTCGTGGTGAAAGGAAAGGAGTTTGCCAAGGAAGTCGGTGGGGCTGGACATCATCCAAGCTGACCCCGGACAGAGCATAGAAAGACTCAAAGAAGTGGCTTGGAGAATTGAGAAAAATGTCTAGTATCCCCAATCTTACAAGGGTTGGAATAGGGAGGAAACAGACAACGCAGACGACATTTGTTGGAACCAAGCCCCGCCAGGCAAAGATCGCTAGAAGAAATGGCTCAAAGAGATAGGACGAGTTCATTTAGAGACTTGCGACAAATGTTGCAAGCAATGCAAGAGATAATGTGCAAAAATCATGAAGATTTAAAAAAAAGAAATAGGAGAAGTAAGAAATGATACAGGGGAACTTAAGGACAAAATCAGTTCAATGGATGGGAAATTGGAATCTTTCCATCAGCAGATGATGAAAAATGAAGAAAAATAGTTGGAAATGGAGGAAAGGATGGATAGAGAAGAGCAGAGAGTAAATGAAATGAACGAAAGACTAGTTCAGGCTAACAAAGAACTAGAATCTACAGTGATTTCCCTGGAACTTGATAAAGCCGCTCACTACCTACGGTTTCAAAATGTATGTGAGATGAAAGGTGAACACCTTCCAGTAATAATGGCAGATATACTAGCCAGGGCCTTGGGGTTCAGCAGAGAAGAGATGGCTATAGAATACATACAAACTATGAGACCTATAGAATACATACAAACTATGCAAGACAGCACAACCTTCCCAGAGAAGTACATGTTAAATTTATTAAAAAATCCATTAGAGATGAAATACTATTCCGGGCTAGACATGATGCTCTGGAGTACCGAGGTAGACAATTGATTGTTCTCAAACAAGTACCAAAAAGAGTGAGAGATTTGAGAAGACCCTACCAACAAATAACTCTCAAATTGACGAGAAAAAAATATCAACTTTAGATGGTTGACCCCGGAAGGTTCCGTCTAGATTCAGTGGATAAAGCAGAGGAATTTTATAGGAAAAACTTTGGTGGTGAGGAACATTTAGTTGAAAGAGAGGCAAGACAGGAAGGAGAAATAGCAGCCCAGGCCGTTGAAGGAAAGGAAATGCACCTTAAAGGAAAGCGGGTTGAGATTAGAGAGGATATAAACAATGGGAAAAACGAAGGGAAACAAGATGAGGATAGACCTAAAGCAATTAAAGAGGCCAGACCAACAAGATGGATAGTGGAAAAAGGAAAGGATCTACAACCTCAAGAGTCTAGAGTAGGCGGACAATAATAACTAGATCTAAACATAGATAAGGAGGGAAAAAAGGTGTTGAATCCATATCCATTAATGTTAATGGCTTCAACTCTCCAATAAAAAGGAAAAAGCTCTTAAATAAATTCAACAAGATGAACTTAGATATAATTATGCTACAAGAAGTCCATTATAAAACAACAATATCAATATTTATTAAACTGCCCTAAGTTGGGGAACATGTTTGTGGCACTTTCACAGTACAAGAAAGGAGGAGTTGTAGCATATATTAAACAGGAAATTTTGGCAAAGCAAATTTATAAAGACAAAGGCAGAATTTTAATTGTGGAAATAATTTTGAATAAAATGAAAATTCTTCTTGTGGGAATCTATGCCCCGAATGAGGGACAGAAACAATTTTACAAAAAAACTACACAACATTATTACTCAATTGGAATATGATAACATATGTATAAGGGGAGACTATAACGCAATCATGGATAGACATCTAGATTATAAATGTGGAAAGAATAGAAAAAGAACTAGAGGCACAATACCTGATACATTCCTAAAAATGGCTGATGAGCTTAATATCAGGATATATGGAGAGAGAGGAATCTAGGAAAAAACAGTTTACATTCTACTCTGGACGCCATCAATCATGGTCCAGAATTGATATGTTGTGGATGTCAGCAGACTTAAATTTAGAGGTAGAGGACATTGTAATCGATACAAACTCCTGGGCTGACCATAATCCAATTAGAATTAGATGGAAAGGGCAAAAAAGAATGAGGAGATGGACCTTGAAAAGGGCAATCCTAAAACATAAGGAATTTAAACTGAAATTGGAAGAACAAATGGGCCTGTTTTTCAAGACAAATAAAAAGGAAGATACGAACTGCCAAAACTTATGGGATACAGCCAAAGCGTATATGAGAAGCGCTGCAATTTCCTATATGGCCAGGGAAAACAAAATTAAAACACAACGACTAAGACACTTAGAAGAAGAATTAAGTAGAGTTCAGGAAGATTTGCAAAAGGAACCACAAAGACGTGAGTTGAAACAGCAAATAGATCTAATTAAACATAAGATGAACATTATTGGGAAGGAAGAACTAGGACAGCAGATAAAACGTACTAAACAGAAATTTTTTGAAAACGCCAATAAACCGGGGAGATGGCTGGCCTATAAAATTAAAAAACACAATAACGAACAGAGGATTACTAAACTTTGCAACACAGAAGGTAATATAATGTATCAGAACGAAGGAAATTGTACAGTATTTGCAAACAGCTGACCGACCGAAAGTTCCAAAAGAATTTAAAACTTTGTTGAACAAAGAGATAACATCTTTGGAACTTTCTGAAGCAATTAAGAAACAAAAAAAATGTCCTTTTTTGTTTTAACTATTTTATTAATAAAAAACTTTTTAAAAAAGGACTCAAAGAAGGAGCACAAGATGGGAAGAGGGGGAGAGACCACAAGTCAGACTCTCGACTGAAGGGGTAACATCACCATCATCTAAATGCCTTGGTAAGGCCACACCTGGAATCCTGCATCCAGTTTTGGTCACCACGATGTAAAAAAGAGGTTGAGACTCTAGAAAGAGTACAGAGAAGAGCAACAAAGATGATTAGGGGACTGGAGGCTAAAACATATAAGGAACGGTGGCTGGAATTGGGTATGTCTAGTTTAATGAAGAGAAGGACAAGGGGGGACAGGATAGCCGTGTTCCAATATCTCAGGGGTTGCCCCAAAGAAGAGGGAGTCAAGCTATTCTCCAAATGCCTGAAGGCAGGACAAGAAGCAACGGATGGAAACTCATCAAGGAGAGAAGCAACCTGGAACTAAGGAGAAACTTCCTGACAGTGAGAACAATTAACCAGTGGAACTACCTGCCTCCAATAGTTGTGAATGCTCCAATACTGGAAGTTTTTAAGAAGAGACCGGAGAGCCATTTGTCTGAAATGGTATAGGGTTTCCTGCCTGAGCAGGGGGTTGGACTAGATGACCTCCAAGGTCCTTCCAGCTGAATTGAATAGTCTGATGAAGAGAAGCATGAGGGGGGACATGATAGCAGTCTTCCAGTATCTCAGGGGCTGCCCCAAAGAAGAGGGAGTCAAGCCATTCTCCAAAGCGTCTGAAGGCAGGACAAGAAGCAACGGATGGAAACTAACCAAAGAGAGAAGCAACTTAGAACTAAGGAGGAATTATCCTGACAGTGGGGACAATTAACCAGTGGAACAACCTGCCTCCAGAAGCGGTGTAAGCTGTGAATAATAGCAATGGGCAAATTTCTGTCCAGCTTTGAAAGGTCCTAATGCGAATAGAAGAAAAAACTGCAAACAGAAATCAATCTATTAGGTTTGACAACAAGTTTTTGGCTCCAGCCACTTATTCGGAATATACCTGCGATGAATTCAGTTGCTTCCACTCCTACGTAATCAACTCAGAAGCGCAGTTCAGGCTGCGAAATTGCCAGACTTCCTCGTTAGAAGTATTTAATGAATGCGGGGTTTTGGAGCACGTTCATGTTCATAATGTCCCTAAGTGAAATAATTAACTCATGAGACTGATAAAAATGCAGGAAGAAATAAAAACCTTTCCAGTGTAACAGATGGGCAAGATTCTCTAGCTGTAATGTTCAAAGATTATTACATATTTGTGCTTTTTGGTCCTGTGGGAAATTTGTAAGCCAAGAGCTGCGATTGAAGCAAGGGAGATGACTGGAAGACAGTAACTCTTTGCCACATTTCAGCTCACCAAAGATGAAAAAAGAGAAAAGTCTAGAACGAGAAAGAAAGATCTAGAAAGAATGCAGAGAGCAACAAAGATGATCAGGGGACTGGAGGCTAAAACATACAAGGAACGGCCGCTGGAATTGGGGATGTCCAGTTTAGTGAAGAGAAGGACGAGGGTGGACAGGATAGCAGTGTTCCAGTATCTCAGGGGCTGCCCCAAAGAAGAGGGAGTCAAGCTATTCTCCAACGCGCCTGAAGGCAGGACAAGAAGCAACGGATGGAAACTCATCAAGGGGAGAAGCAACCTGGAACTAAGGAGGACAGTGAGAACAATTGATCAGTGGAACTGCTTGCCACCAGAAGTTGTGGGTGCTCTGACACTGGAGGTTTTTAAGAAGAGACTGGACAGCCCTTTGTCTGAAATGGTACAGGGTTTCCTGCCTGAGCAGGGTTGGATTAGAAGATCTCCAAAGTCCCTTCCAAATTTGTTATTCTGTTAAAGCTGCAGCTCAAGAGTTCTGCTTTTCAAAAAAAAAAACTGTTGTAGATCATAAAAGGTGCTATCAGACTCCTCAGAATTCTCCTTTGAAATTCTGATTTGCCCCATGGTTTGGGGAGTCCTGCATATGGGCCAAAGGCTTTTTCTTCTCTCTCTTCTTCAGAGCTTCTGCGTAGTTCCGCACGGCGGCCTTGATCAGCCATTCACAAGTCACAGTGACCGGGAGCCTTGAAAGAGCTACTTCTGCCAGATCAGATGAAGATGATGAGATTTTAGGAAGGAAGGTCGGACACACACACACACACACACACACACACACACACACACACACACACACCAGTCCCTATTCCTACAATAGTTATCAGAGCAGCCAGGACATTTTAGAAGCGTTCCCAGATCTGTTTTCCTAAACTCATGAGTTCTGTAGACTTTTAGTTCCGGATCATTAATGCTCTTTCACCACTCCTGTCTCCAGCTCTTTTGTGGCTGTCTTGTAAACGTTGCCACGCCACAAAGAGGAGGGGCTGCTCTTAAATGAATTGTGTGAGTTGGAAGTGGTGCTAACAAACCATTATTGTTGTTGTTGTTGTTGTTGTTATGAATCATCGCACAGTCAGCCAGATGTTCAGACTGGATTTGGCATTTTGTCTACCTATCGAGTCCTTACCCAGGACCTGGGATAGGCAGATGTGGATGTTTGATGTTATTACAGATCTCGTCGCAGGATGGAAGCAGTTCCTAGTAAGGCCGCCTTTTGCAATTGACTAATAGCAAATTTGTCAATGCCAATGATGGTGTTCAAGTGGTGCTCCAGTTGTTTTGGGATTGCACCTAAGGAGCCTATGACTATTGGTACCACCCTTGCTTACCTTTGCCACAGTCTCTCTATTTCTATTTGTAGGTCTTTGTATTTTGTGATCTTCTCCAGTTCTTTCTCGTCTATTCTGCTGTCTCCAGGCACTGCCACATCCATCATCATCATCCATCATCATCATTATTATTATTATTATTTGCCAAAACAGACTAACATGCCTCTCTTACGATCTCACCAAAGAGGCAAAAATTCCTAACAGCCAAACGGAAGAAAGGAAAAAGGTTTCCATATTTTCAAAAATGAGGAAAGGAAGATTTAGAGGATGACTGTCCAAGTGATGATCTTCAAAGATATTCTGGGGGGGGGGGGAGACTTTGATTCCCGCAATGGACAAAGGGCTGCAAAAGTGGATGGAGTTAGCTGAGGTGGCTAAATTGACCGCTCTGACTGAAGAAAAGAACACAAACAATTTTGGAAACTGCATCTGTATTTTTGTGGTGCACAAAAAGGAAACTTTGGTTTTGGGTTTTATCGATGAGATAGGCTTGTTCTTATAGAAATGGCCAGTTTATATTACTGTGTAAAAGAAAAAAGCTGTGGCTGTAGGTATTACCTTATTCTACTGCACCAAAAAAGAGTCAGAAGTCACTGCTGTTCTTTTTGTTTCCCCTTTAACCTATATAGAATAGAATAGAATTAGGATAGGATAGGATAAGATAGGATAGGATAGGATGGGATGGGATGGGATGGGATGAGATGGGATGGGATAAAATAATAAAATACAGAATAGAATAGAATAGAATGGAATGGAATGGAATGGAATGGAACGGAACGGAACGGAACGGAACGGAATGGAATAATAAAATACAGAATAGAATAGAACAGAACAGAACAGAATGGGACGGACGGGATTGGATGGGATAGAATAATAAAATACAGAATAGAATAGAATAGAATAGAATGGAATGGAATAGAATGGAATGGAACGGAACGGAACGGAACGGAATGGAATAGGACGGGACGGGATAGAATAATAAAATACAGAATAGAATAGAACAGAACAGAACGGGACGGGACGGGATGGGATGGGATGGGATAGAATAATAAAATACAGAATAGAATAGAATGGGATGGGATGGGATAGAATAATAAAATACAGAATAGAATAGAATAGAATAGAATAGAATAGAATAGAATAGAATAGAATAGAATAGAATAGGATGGGATGGGATGGGATGGGATGGGATGGGATGGGATGGGATGGGATGGGATGGGATGGGATGGGATGGAATAAAAATACAGACTAGACTAGACTAGACTAGACTAGACTAGAATATAATAGACTAGAATAGAATAGGATGGGATGGGATGGAATAGAATAAAAATACAGAATAGAATAGAATAGAATAGAATAGAATAGAATAGAATAGAATAGAATAGAATAGAATAGAATAGAATAGAATAGAATAGAATACGATGGGATGGGATAGGATAGGATAGGATAGGATAGGATAGGATAGGATAGGATAGAAAGAGGAGGGGAGGGGAGGAGAGGAGAGGAGAAGAGAAGAGAAGAGAAGAGAAGAGAAGAAAAGAGAAGAAAAGAGAAGAATGGAAGGGACCTTGGAGGTCTACTAGTCCATCCTCTGCTCAAGCAGGAGACCCTATATCATTTCAGACCAACGGTTGCCCAGTCTCTTCTTAAAAACTTCCAATGTTGGAGCAGCCACAATTTCTGGTGGCCAGCCGTTCCACTATGGAAATGTGAGGATGACGGTTTGGTTCCTGCTGGCCCTTTCTGCTCAGAGAGCTGCTGGCACAAAGTGAGATTGTGCTCCGAAACTCTGGGAACATCTGGAGCATCTGGCAGAACGTAGACAACCAGTGATTGTGAGGCCGTAAGGCGGATTCTGAGATGGGGAGAAGAACACCCAGAACTAAGAACTTCTGCGCGGTTGAAGGAAGAGCGAGGCAGCGGAGGGAATAGACCCCGTTAGTCCTCTCAATAAAAATACCCAGAAAGAACATTGACTCATAAATTTAACAGCCTTTGCTGCCTTTACACAAATACTGCATTTATGGGAAATAAACGAGCTCCGTGGGAATCCCTCTGATTGGAAGGCAAATCGGGCACTGTGGCTGCTCTTTCATTCATGATCAGGGAAGACTCAGCTGTTGCTAGTGATGTGCGTGGCCTGGGAACCCTTCAGCTGGAGCACATGTCCATGATGCATGTATGAACGCATGTATGTGTGTGATGAGTGTGTTCTGCAACTCCCTTCCATTGGGTTCAGTTAAGGACCAATATATTTCACCAACACAGAAAACAGAATTACAGGTTAACTGAGTAGGGCAGGTCCTCAGAGATCTTTTAGTCCAAACCCCTGGTCAAGCAGGAGACCCACCATTTTAGACAAATGGCTGTCCAGTCTCTTCTTAAAAACTTCCAGTGTTGGAGCATTCACAGCTTCTGGAGGCAGGTTGTTCCACTGATTAATTGTTCTGACTGTCAGGAAGTTTCTCCTTAGTTCCAGGTTGCTTCTCTCCTTGATCAGTTTCCATCTGTTGCTTCTTGTCCTGCCTTCAGGCGCCTTGGAAAATAGCTTGACTCCCTCTTCTTTGGGGCAGCCCCTGAGATACTGGAAGACTGCTATCCTGTCCCCCCTGGTCCTTCTCTTCGCTAAACTAGATATGCCCAATTCCAGCCACCGTTCCTTATATGCTTTAGCCTCCAGTCCCCTGATCATCTCTGTTGCTCTTCTCTGTCCTCTTTCCAGAGTCTCAACATCTTTTTTACATCGTGGTGACCAAAACTGGATGTGGTGTTCCAAATGGGGTCTTACCAAGGCATCATAAAGTGGCATTAACACTTCACACATGACCTTGATACTCCTTGTTGACGTAGGCTAAGACTGTGGTGGCTTTTGGTATGAATCTCAAATGAGCAGATGCAAGTTAACATATTTATTTATTAAATTTTCATGCTGCCCGTCTCCCCTACGAGGTGACCCTGGGCGGTTTGAAATACAATTAAAATATGATGGGGTGCTCGTGAATGCCTTCGTAGCCACATGAGGAACATGTGAGTGATCTAAAGCAAGGTTCAGCTGGGTTCACACCTGCTGTCCAAAGAGCAAAGTCCATGTTTGGCATTATTAAGAGAAGAAAGGAAACAAAACACACAATACAGCAATGCCCTTGTATACATATGTGGTTAGCTCACCCCTGGAGAATAGTGTGCACTGGCCCACACACACAAAAACGTGTTTTGGTCAGCTGGGAAAGATCGAAAATCTGAGATCAAAACATTTAAGGGACTTACGCAGCTCTGCTACAGAGATCCGTCTTGTGGAGTTTGGAATGAAGGTAGGTAGACGTAGCAGCAATATGGCAAATAATATTTCTCCCTCTCTTACACAATCAGAATTCAGATTTCCTCATTAAAATATCTATCAGTACATGTGCATCACTCACCATGATACAAAATGATGTTGAAGCTCTAGAAAGCATGCAGAGAAGAGCGACAAAGATGATACAGGTCTGGAGCCAAGCTAGGTATGCCCAGTCTAGAGAAAAGAAGGACTAGGGATGATATGACAGCAGGATTCCAGTATCTGAGGGGCTGCCCCAAAGAAGAGGGAGTCAAGCTATTCTCCAAAGCACCTGAAGGCAGAACAAGAAGAAATGAGAAGGAAGGAAGGAAGGAAGGAAGGAAGGAAGGAAGGAAGGAAGGAAGGAAGGAAGGAAGGAAGGAAGGAAGGAAGGAAGGGCAACAGCAATAGCACTTAGACTTATCTACCGCTTCACAGTGCTTTACAACCCTCTCTAAGCAGTTTAGAGAGTCAGCATGTTGCCCCCAGCAATCTGGGTCCTCATTTACCGACCTCAGAAGGACGGAAGGCGGAGTCAACTTTGAACTGGTAAAAAATAAAAATCTAAAAACTCTAAACTTTAAAATCTAAAACCGTCTAAAACCTAAAATCATCTACGCAGGCCACTTGCCTGCCAGCCCTGTCTCAGACATAACACGGCTGGTCTGGTAGTCAGCTTTCCCTGTTGGGTGGCAGCCTTTATTCCTCATGTTGAACTAAACCAGTGGTTCTCCACCTGTGGGTCGGGACCCCATTTGGGGTCAAACGACCATTTCACGGGGGTCGCCAAACAACGCAGTCCGCCATTTTTCCCCCCTTTTCCTTAGCTGGGCTACTCCCTTTTATTCTATTGGCTTTTGAAAGCCAATAGAAGAGACTCTCTTGAATAGAATCTAATTCTATTGGCTTTCAAAAGCCAACAGGAATTGTCCAGGCTGTCTCTGCCCTGCTGAGCCCGCCAAAAGCCCCGTTCTGCAAATGGTGCTGCACCAGTTGAGTAGTCCTCGACTTACGACCGGTTGGGGGTCGCGGCATTAAAAAGGTTGACAACCACTGAACTAAACAGATCCACAATAGGTGGCCAACTTTTTCAACGGCCCGTGTGCTTGGTGTGCCGAACAGCCTGTTCCCCAAAAAGCAGCCACCCCAAAGAGGACCCGTGTTCAAAGCAGGGGACCCCCTGGCTATTGGTCAGAAACAGGGCCTAAGCCTAACTCCGCCAGCTGAGGAAGGACACCAGAAAGCGTTCCTTGAATCAGGAGTTTTATTAGAGAGCCATTTCCAGGCCAGCTTCTGGTCACCTTCTTGATGCTCTCTAGCAGCCCTTCTCCACTTGGGAGCCGTAGACCTCCAGCTCACAGAGAGTCAGGTACTCTGCCCGGCCAGGGATGACCACGGTCACGTAGCGCCCTCGTAGTCCACCGCAGCAGATAATGCTGAGGGAGCCGGCGCTGCCATTGGAGATGGTCCCACAGCTGCAGGGATAAAAACTCAATTTACTCAGGGTTTGCGTTATGACCCCAGGAGTCATAAAAGAGCTGAGGTTGCCTACACCTGTCCTAGGTCAACTAAGTAAGCTCCCAAATTCAGCGACTGCGACAGAAAGATCCCAACAGTGAATCCTTCTGTTCCCCCACCTGTCAGTCAGAACTGGAGAAGCTTCTTGGATGAGAAATGAAACTTTTTCAAGGGGGAAAAAAGACAGTCAAGTTGCCCTTTTGGAAAAGCCCCTTTGGGGAATCTCCTGGAGGAGTGACGACTGGCTGAAGAGTGGTCCTTGACGCACCATTCCCCTTCGATCTGACCTCTAGGAAAAGGGACTGCAACCCCCAGAATGCTGAGCCTGCAGGTGTAAGGGGGGGGGAATGCCAGGTTGAAGAAGCTCGGCCAGATAATGTCCATCGCTCAACCTTCCCTTCTAAGCTTTTTCTTGAAGATTCTTTGGGCTGGAAATAATTGGACAGATCCCAGGTGGTGGCTTGACCAAGGAGGGTTAAAAAAAAAGGCAAGATGGTGGCTCTGTTATGGAGCCCCGACCCTTTTTCACACCTCCCATACATGCCACACATGCAGAAAAAGGTTGGTATGTCATCCAGGCAGGGATGGCTGCCAGTTCTCCTTCCAGACACCCCCTGGGCTCCCCCTGGGCCCCATTGCGAAGAAAGCAGCTCTGCCCCCCACTTTGTCTTGGATGGAAGCTCCTTACATTGGATTGCACTTGCCGTGGCTGACCCCACACTCTCCCACGCGGATCTGGGCCCCCTTGAGCTGTCCGGAGCAGCACTCCTGGCGATTCTTCACCACCACGGCCGAGATGGCATAGAAGGCACCCAGATCCACACTCCACCAGGGCTCTTCCTCCGCCAGGGTATGGCTGCAGGAGCCATGGCGCCAGTCTCCATCGCGGTTGCCATCTACGGCACTACCTGCTCGGCTGTAGATGGTGCCCCACTGGGGGTACGTGGAGGACTGAGTGGCAGGCTGGCCCTTGGCCCAGTTCCTGGCTGGGGGGCAAAGGGAGACATGGTCTTAGCTGACCATCCATTCCTTAGACTGAGAATGGAGGAGGAGGAGGAGGAGGAGGAGGAGGAGGAGGAGGAGGAGGAGGAGGAGGAGGACGACAATGACTATGGGGTCCTGGGTGCTCTCTGAGCTGGTCAGTTTCCTTGCAGACGTTTCATGACCCAACTGGGTAACATCATCAGGGCTAGATGGAAGCAGAGTTGGTGAGGAGGGAGAGAAGGAGGGGGAGGGGGAGGAGGACTGTGGGGTCCTTGGTGCTCTCTGAGCTTGGCTCTTTTCTTGCAGACGTTTCATGACCCAACTAGGTAACATCAACAGTGTTAGAAGGTTTTGTAGAATGGAGAAGGAGGAGGACGACGACAACTATGGCATCCTTAGTGCTCTCTGAGCTTAGTAGTTTTCTTGCAGACATTTCATTACCCAACTAGGTAACATCATCAGTGCTAAGAGGGAGGAGGAGGAGGAGGAGGAGGAGGAGGAGGAGGAGGAGGAGGAGGAGGAGGAGGAGGAGGACAATAACTATGGGGTCCTTTATGCTCACTGAGCTGGGTGGTTTTCTTGCAGACGTTTCATTACCCAACTAGGTAACATCATCAGTGCTAGAAGGGAGGAGGAGGAGGAGGAGAGCCAGAAATCCCCTCTCAACTTCATGCCCCAACATTATTGACCTTTATTGACCCCATGGCAAAGAAGACCCTTCCCCTTCCCCTCTTAAGGTCTTGGATGGTTCCTGCCCCTCTTCCTCCAAGCTCTGATGCAAGACCTCCGGAGGGGGCTGCAGAGGAGAAGAAAGCGAGACCCCAGGGAAGGCGTTGGAGCAGAGGAAGAGCTTCCTAGAGAGGTCCTGGAGGAGGAGGAGGGGGAGGAGGAAGAAGAATAAGCCGACGCAAGAGGAGGAGGGATCCAGGATCCGCAAGTGAGGAGTCCACATTCCCAAGACCCAAAGGTGATGCAACCTGGCAGTGGCGTGGCAGGGATGGACCTTGGAAGAGCCCGTGGGAGCTACACTGGGGTGTCCTCTGGGCCCCCTGCAATTGGGTCAGCCTTCAATTCGCTGATGGCCTCTGTCTGGAGAAAGAGGGCAGGACCCATGGCAGGATGGCACTCCGATGGCCGCCCTACGACCTGGACGGAGGTGGGCGTGGCCTCGGGGGCACCTGTCCCAGGTGGGGATGGTGCACAATGTTAGCCCAACATAGGTGGAGGGCAGGAGGCTGGGGTGGGGGTGGGGGGAATCAGCGGAGGGGACAACCAGAACTGAGGCTTGGGGTAAGCAGAGACCGAAGGCTCTGGTGTCCCTTCTCCCTCCCAGCCAGAATAGATAGAAGGTACCTTGGAGGTCTTCTAGACCAACCCCCTGCTCAAGCGGAAGACCCTAAACCGTTTCAGACAAGTGGCTGTCCAGTCTTTTTTTTTTTTTAAAAAAAAAAATCTCCAGCGTTGGAGCAGCCACAACTTCTGGAGGCAGGTTGTTCCACTGATTAATTGCTCTACAGGAAAGTTCCAGGTTGCTTCTCTCCTTGACGAGTTTCCATCCATCTTTTCCTGCCTTCAGGTGCTTTGGAGAATGGGTTGACCCTGTCTTCTTTGGGGCAGCCCTTCCAGTGTTGGAATCCTGCTATCATGTCCCCCCTGGTCCTTCTCTGTGTTAGACTAGACATGTCTTCCCTCTCGTTAGGACCCTCCAAAGTTCTTCTGGCTCTTCCAAAAGAAGAAGGAGATGGTCTTCAAGCCAGGACGTTCCCCGCCCCAAGCCAGCTCCCTCCCGACTTTTGTGCCAGACTTCCCCACAACACAGCTTCCCCCTTCCCCCTTCATACCCCCTGGAGGAGGCACGCAGCTCGGGGTCCCCTTCAGCCCTTCCACCAGACCCACAGCCAGCAGCAAGCTCCAGAGCCTAGACATCCTCTGCACAGGGAGGGCGGAGAGCTGCCCGAAGCAGCCCAGGTGGGCCATGAAAGGGGAAGCACGTGGGGTGCTGGAGGGGGTCCAGAGGGCACTTTGCCCCAGACTTCTGGGTCCCAGACGACGCTTGGCTGGCTTCACCTTCAGGGATGGTGTTGATGTTATCCATCCAGTTGTGTCCAACACTTGGAGGAACTTCAACGCCCCGAGAGGGAGGCTCCTGCAGATCAGCTCAGAAGATGCAGGAGGACCTCTTGGGAGGTTTGGGACCAGGGTCCCCCCCACAGCCCTTGGATCTCTGTAGGCTCCCCCATCCTACAAGAATCTCCCCCCCATGGACGAGTCAGTGGGGAACAGCAGAAAGCCACTTCAGCTGACCTGAAGCCCTACAGCAATTTAGGGGATCATTTTTCAGCCTGGTGATGACTAGATCAGGGCTTTTCAACCAGTGGTACGGGTACCACCTGTGGTACATGGGCACCTGGCAGGTGGTATGCAACCATTCTAGAAAAGTGGTAGTGGGGGAGGGGAATGAGCTGAACTGATGGCAGCACCGCACAAGCCTGAGCGAGAGACGGCTGGAGCTGCAGGGCTGTCAGGGCTCAGCGGAAGCGCCAGGGTCAGTGCCGCTTTCCAGCTGATCAGCGTTTCTTTGGGACTATCTGGGCTCAGTGGAAGCGCCAGGATCAGCGCCAGGCTCCAGCTGGGGCTCTGTGCTGATCCTGGTGCTTCTGCTGAGCCCAGAAGAAGCGCCGATCAGCTGGAATGTTGCAGCCTCTCCAGGGTCTTGTGATTTACATTCAGATGCTTGGCAACGGATTCATATTTATGACGGTCAGTGTCCCAGGGTCATGTGGCCAAAACCTGCTGCAACCACCCAGCAGACGGGGGGAATAAAAACCAAACACCCCCCCCACCCCACCCTCGCTGCCAATCCTCAACAGAAATGCTCACAACAATGAAAACCTCGCACAGGAGGAAGAGCACTGCCGGGCGGGCAGGCAGGTGTCTTGCTCGGCTGTGGCTTGGGGGGCACTTTTTTCAGGGTCATTGTAACTTCAAACAGTCACTAAGCGAACTGTTGTAAGTTGAGGACTACCTGTACTTCATCAGATTTTTCCTTTTTTGGGGGGGGTCATCAAGTTTTTGACCCCTTGCTAAGCGACTGGTGGTACTCAGATGTTGCCATTTCCTAAAAGTGGTACAATGGGTGAAAAGGTTAAAAAGCCCTGGACTAGATGACCTCCAAGGTCCCTTCCAATTCTGTTATTCTGTTAATTACTATTTAGTGTTTGTTGCCTGTAAATTAAGGTACACATTTATCAAACCAACTGAACTATTCCACTGGTTAATTGTTCTCACTGTCAAGAAGTTTCTCCTTAGTTCCAGGTTGCTTCTCTCCTTGATGAGTTTCCATCCGTTGCTTCTTGTCCTGCCTTCAGATAGTTTTGGAGAATAGCTTGACTCCCTCTTCTTTGGGGCAGCCCCTGAGATATTGGAAGGCTGCTATCGTGTCTCCCCTCGTCCTTCATTAAACTAGACATCCCCAATTCCAGCAACCGTTTCTTGTAAGTTTTAGCCTCCAGATCCCTGATCATCTTTGTTGCTCTTCTCTGCACTGTTTCCAGAGTCTCAACATCTTTTTTACATCATGGTGACCAAAACTGGATGCAGGATTCCAGGTGTGGCCTTACCAAGGCATTAGATGATGGTGATGTTACCCCTTCAGTTGAGGACCAACTGACTCCGATCACGGGGGGGGGGGGAGTCTTCTCCAAATTAACACCTACCAAATGGCTAAACTATAACTCCCGTCTCCCCCAACCAGGCCACTGATGGGAGCTGCCAGGCAAGACCTCTGGAAGACCACAATGCCAGGCTCTGCCACAACAATGAGCTCCAGACAAGCTTCTGTCAGCCGGGGCAGCGATGCAGCTCAGCTCTCTGGAAGGTTGGGAGAGCGCCCGGTGGGCCAGGTGCCCAGAGGGCTGATCGTATCTTGCCAAGAGAAGACAAAGAGAGAACTTCATGGCCTCTGGTGCGCTTTCAAAGAAAGCATTGTCTGTGGCCAGGACAGGGGCAGAATTGACCTGCCATGGTGAGAAATAGTTTGCAGGGATTAAAAACAATGACAGGCAGTCCGCTGCCTTCCCCATCCTGATGATCTATGGCTCCCGTCTGCTCTCTTGGGTAACTTCTCCCAACAAGGCCCAAGCTGAAGCCACTTCTCTGCAGGGTTTAACTCCTTCTCCTGATTCGGGAGCGGCTCAGCCTGGACTTAACAAAGCCGGAAGGGGCACCTCGTATCCCTTCCTTGATCCCTTTGTGGAAGACGAAAAGATTGGCTATAGTTTTTCTATGCCCAGGTGAACTAAATCAGGCCTCATGGAAAAGGATTGAACCAAAGTCTGAGCTATGCTCAATTTTGCAGTTTGCAACTGTACTTTACTTAATACGATTTTGCTCAGCTTGCTTGTTTCAAATACATTTAGAACGTAAGGACTGGAACTGTAAGAAATAGGGAACGGAAAGTAGCTGAGGGATACGGGTTCCAATGTACACGGGTATGTGGAAAGTTATGTTCAGCAGAGGGTCAGCAGAAAGTATAAGATTGTTGACCATCTAGGACAGGGGTAGGCAACCTCGGCTCTTTTATAATAGTATAAAGTTGGAAGGGACCTTGGAGGTCATCGAGTCCAACCCCCTGCTCAGGCAGGAAACCCTACACCATTTCGGACAAATGGCTGTCCAGTCTCTTCTTAAAAACATCCAGTGTTGGAGCATTTACCGCTTTTGGAGGCAGGCTGTTCCACTGATTAATTGTTCTGTCAGGAAGTTTCTCCTTAGTTCTAGGTTGCTTCTCTCCTTGATTAGTTTCCACCCGTTGCTTCTTGTCCTGCCTTCAGGTGCTTTGGAAAATAGCTTGATTCCCTCTTCTTTATGGCAGCCCCTGAGATACTGGAACACTGCTATCATGTCCCCCCTTGTCCTTCTCTTCATTAAACTAGACATGCCCAATTCTAGCAACCGTTCCTTATGACTCATGGACTTCAACTCCCAGAATGCCTGAGTCAGCATAGCTATGCTGACTCAGGAATTCTGGAAGTTGAAGTCCATGAATCATAAAAGAGCCGACGTTGCCTACCCCTGATCTAGAGCAAGAAAGGGTATAAAAGGTCGGGACTGGACCCGATTGATTTGCCATTGGCCTAAAGCTATCCTTTTTGGAACTGCTATGTCACTGAACCTCATTGCAAAGGGCTTTTAGCGTAAGTGATGCTTATGTGTGTGTTCCAAATTATTGCTGAAATAAACCTCTGAATCTTAAAAGAAGTATTGTTTTGTGTTGCTGTTTCTTGTCTTTTTCATTGGGTTTTTCCACGACACCTTTAAGAAAACACCCAAGAGGAAAGGCTGTCCTCCCAACGATAATCAATCACTGGAGGTTTTACGGACTGGCCAACCTTTTGACTGGGATGGTACAAAGTTCCTGCCTTCAGCAGAAGGTTGAGCTACACAGTGTGTACAATTCTTAGGCAAGGGAGTATTTTGACCATGTCACCAATTTCATGCACCGCCAAGCTGTATAAACGCCAAGGCTTAGTGCAGGGGTCTTCAAACTTGGCCCTTTTATGACTTGTGGACTTCAACTCCCAGAATTCCTCAGCCAGGCACACGTGCCTGGCTGAGGAATTCTGGGAGTTGAAGTCCACAAGTCATAAAAGGGCCAAGTTTGAAGACCCCTGGTTTAGTGGATATAAGCATATCAGGTGATGCGTATTTGTGTCGTGAGGGAGGATGTGGCCCAAGATCTTGTCCTCAGGCAAAATGAGCCCCCCCCCCCAAAAGAGAGATTTATCTGACTCTGAAAAATCAAAAAATGTACTTCTGGGCACTCCAGGTAGGTTGCAGATCTGGAATATGACAGCACCTAAGGATGATGGGTCCCTAGTAACATCATGTTTGATTTTTCTCCAGTCTTTGGCAGTTAATGTGTGTCTTTCCCCCCCCCCCCAACATCTTTCTTGCAGCCCTGTTGACTCTTTGCAACAAAAGGTTTGAGGGTCCTGTGATGACACCCCAATATCTTAGCCATTTCAAGAGGGCTGCATCCCATCTGAAAGACTTTTTGCAATATTTGACTTTTCAGCGTCAGTTAAATCTCTTTTTCGGCACATTTTGCCTGACCCAGGTGGGGGGGGGAAGCTGCCTAATAATTGTGCACACCTTGATATAGCGTGTTGGCCACACGCTCCCCTCGTGACACAAATACACATCAGCTGACATGCTTGTATGTACTAAGCCTTCAAGTTTATACAGCTTGGAGGTGGACAATATGCATGAAAAGGATGACATGGTCAAAATACTCTCTTGCCTAACAATTGTGCACACCTTGATGTAGTGTGTTGATCTCCTTTGGCCACACCCTCCCCTCATGACACAAATACACATCAGCTGATATGCTTATATGTACTGAGCCAGGGGTAGGCAACCTTGACTCTTTTATGACTCGTGGATTTCAACTCCCAGAATTCCTCAGCCAGCATGGGGGAACTATGGCCCCCTCAAGACTGGTGAACTTCAACTCCCAGAATTCCTCAGCCAGCATGAGGGAACTATGGCCCCCTCATGACTCGTGGACTTCAACTCCCAGAATCCCTGAGCCAGCATGGGGGAACTATGGCTCCCTCATGACTCGTGGACTTCAACTCCCAGAATTCCTGAGCCAGCATGGGGGAACTATGGCCCCCTCATGACTGGTGGACTTCAACTCCCAGAATTCCTGGGCCAGCATGGCTCAGCTTGGAAACCTCTCCCTTTCCCCTCAGCATGGCTGGCTCAGGAATTCTGGGAGTTGAAGTCCACCAGTCATAAAAGAGCCCAGGTTGCCTACCCTTGTAGTAGGCCTTCAGGTTTATACAGCTTGGAGGTGGACAATAGGCGTGAAAATGATGACACAGTCAAAATACTCCCTTGCCTAACAATTGTGCACAAGGTGTAAAGACACCTCCCCCCCCCGCCCGGAAAGGTCCCCTTCCAGCCCTGTGACTCTCTAAGTGTGGCCAAGATGGCTCCTGAAACGAAAAGCTCTCAGAGCCAGCCTGATCAGTCCTCCTTCCTTTGGGTTTATCACCCACCGTGCGCCGCCAGAAGGCCCAAACCACGTGTGGCATCTGCACCCTGACAGAGACAGGATTCAACCTATGGATCAAGCATCCCAAAGATGCTTTTTCAAGAGTCAACTGGACTGTCCTTGTTTGAAAACGTTTCGCTTCTCATCCAAGAAGCTTCTTCAGCTCTGACTGGACGGTGGGGAACGGAGGGATCTGTACATTGGGGAAACGACAGAACGACCTCATGAATGTACGGCACAAACCCATCGGGACAAGATTCAGCACCTCCATCTTCCTTTCAAAGACGGAGGCCGCTCTTTCGAAGACAGCAAAGTCCATCTTTTGGACAGGGAGGACCGCTGGTGTGAAAGGGGGGTCCAAGAGGCCATCTGTGTCAAAACTGAACGCCCCTCCCTCAACAGAGGGGGAGGGATAGGACCTCATCTATCTCCGGTCTACCACATGGTCCTTTCAGCAGTTCCAAGAAGGCTCCACCCCCATCTGCACCACTCAGGTGACCCTGAGGACACAGGTGAGCTTCCAGGTGGCCTCAACGACTCTCTAAACCAACGGTTCTCAACCTGTGGGTCAGGACCCCATTTGGGGTCGAACGACCATTTCACAGGGGTCGCCAAACAATGCAGTCCGCCATTTTCCCCCCCCTTTTCCTTAGCTGTGCTCCTCCCTTTTATTCTATTGGCTTTTGAAAGCCAATAAAATAAACTCTCTTGAATAGAGTCTAATTCTTTTGGCTTTCCAAAGCCAATAGGAATTGTCCAGGCTGTCTCTGCCCTGCTGAGCCCGCCAAAAGTCCCAGTCTGCAAACGGTGCTGTACCCGTTGAGTAGTCCTCGACTTACGACCGGTTGAGTAGTCCTCAACTTACGACCGGTTGGGGGGGGGGTCGCGGCATTAAAAAGGTTGAGAACCACTGCTCTAAAAGGAGGCAAAGGACCGGCTGCCTGCAAGGAGTATAAATCCTTCCATTTCCCCACCATCCAGTCAGAGCTGAAGAAGCTTCTTGGGGGAGAAGCGAAACGTCTTCAAAGGAAAAAGTCCAGTTGCCTCATGAAAAAGCACCTTTGGGATGCTTGATCCTTGGGATACCTGTGACCTGGATGACTGAGAATCTCCATAGACATTGATCAAGCCGGTTTTATTGATCCTCTGCAGCCCCCTTCCACATTCACAGAAACGTGAGGAGGGGGCTCTGGCCCTTTCTCCCCCCAGGGCACAATGGTCATCTCAGAATGCTTCAAGGCTACCTCGGCTGGGCAGCCTTCTCCTGATGGTGTCTCTGAAGGCCACGTGGATTGCAACGTTCCCTGAGCCAGCAAGACCCCTGGCCGGGTCCATGAAAGGGGGATGGAGAACACGAAGGCACATCTGCACTGGGGGCCAAGTTAGAAAGCAGGACTGGCTGAGCTTCTGAATGTGGAGAGGTCAACAAGCCAACCCCATGGGGGGCAGCAACTTGGCTTGATGACCCCCAATCGCTCAAGGTAGCTGGTGCCCAGAGCTGCCAGGTCTTGCTTGGTGGGAGAAGTCCATCTCTAGATGCTTGAGGGTCCATTCGTGGTCAGGCCTGGCTGGTGACCTTCTCAGAGGCTCATCTGTGCTCCCCAGACTTTGCTTTCATCAGTGGAGGAGGACAAGGGCGGGGCTGGGGGCACTCATGAGCCCCAAAGGTGGGATGAAGCTTAGAGGGTCATCCCCCTCGGCCCACCCACTGCCCCAGCTTCACCACAGCTGGCCTTCCTGGACCACAGCCAGGCTACGGCTGGGAGTATTCCTGGGTGAACTTGGCGTGGAATTGGCTCAGCTTCTGCAGGAGAGTCTCCAGCTTCTCCTCGGCAGGCAAGATGGTCATTCTGGGATGGAGAGAGCGAGAAGATAACCGTGTGGGAAGGAAGGGAGGGAGGGAGGGAGGGAGGGAGGGAGGAAGGAAGGAAGGAAGGAAGGAAGGAAGGAAGGAAGGAAGGAAGGAAGGAAGGAAGGAAGGAAGGAGATTGTGGAGGAAGGAAGGAAGGAGATTGTGGAGGAAGGAAGGAAGAAAGATTGTGGAGGAAGGAAGGAAGAAAGATTGTGGAGGAGGGAAGGAAGGAAGGAAGGAAGGAAGGAAGGAAGGAAGGAAGGAAGGAAGGGAAAGAAAGAATATGGAGGAAAGAAGGAAGATTATGGAAGAAGGAAGGAAGGAGTGAGGGAGGGAGGGAAGAAAGGAGATTATGGAGGAAGGAAGGAAGAAAGAAAGATTATGGAGGAAGGAAGGAAGGAAGGAGTGAGGGAGGGAGGGAAGAAAGGAGATTATGGAGGAAGGAAGAAAGAAAGATTATGGAGGAAGGAAGGAAGAAAGGAAGGAAGATTATGGAGGAAGGGAGGGAGGGAGGGAGGAAGAAAGAAAGAAAGAAAGAAAGAAAGATTATGAAGGAAGGAAGGAAGGAAGGAAGGAAGGAAGGAAGGAAGGAAGGAAGGAAGGAAGGAAGGAAGGAAGGAAGGAAGGAAAGGCTATAAGAGTACAGATAGTCCTTAACTTATAACCATTCATTTAGTGACCTTTTGACATTACAACCGCACTGAAAAAAGGGGGTTTGGGCCATTTTTCACACCTACGACCATCCCAGCATCCCGGGACAGAGACCACAGAAGCCCCCCCCCCAGGAAGGGCGGAAGGGGGCTTACCTGAAGTGGAAGGTGCCTTCTCTCTGGCCGAAGCCACTGCCGGGCACCACGCAGATGCCCGTCTCCTCCAGCAGTCTGAGGCAGAAGAACATGTCCGGTGCCTGGCCCTGGGCCTGCAGGGGGAGACGAGGGGGGGGGGAGGAACCAGGTTCAATTGCAAAGGCCTCGCATTTCAGCTCCAGGGCTCGGTCCCATATCGGCTCAAGCATCGGAGCGAAGGGAAGAGCGGGACGCGAACTCACTAAAAATAAGGTTGCAGGGGGACCCGAAATAGCAGCAGCTCAACCAAAAGGGTGCTTTTCCAAGAGGCAACAGGATGTTGTTTCCCCCTTTTCCCTTGCAGAGTCAGCTTTATTTGCATATTGGCCCCCAACAATCTGGGTCCTCGTTTTACCGACCTCGGAAGTCAACTTTGAGCCGGTCAGGATCGAACTCCCAGCAGTGGGCAGAGTTAGCCTGCCACGCGGTGCTCTAACCACTGCACCCCCAAGTCAAAACCACACCCTGGAAGCCCCTTCCCCTTGTAATCCTTGGGTCGTGCAGCAGCCGTCTTGACTTTTTTTGACCCTTGCGAGCACCTTGTGTCCCACCCTCACCGAGCAGAAGGTGGGGCCGGGACTTGCCCACCTGGCCCAGCCCTTCCCTCCCTCCCTGATTCTCTGGGGTCCTTTCTCAGCCAGGCAAGCAAGCTCCTCCTCCCGGGGGGGGGAGAGCCAGACAGCCTCCCCCCCCCCGGTCCCTGCAGTGGGCACATCCACCTGTGCCCCCCCATCTCTGCAAAGGCCGGACTTGCAGAGTACCCGTCTTACCTTGGCTTCCTGCACAGCTCGAGCGGGCAGCTCAATCCGGGGGAAAGCATACATGGCGCCCTGCACGGGGTTGCAGTGGATCCCGGGGGCCCGGTTGAAGATCTCCTCGGTCAGCCGGGCCTTCCTGGCCAGAGCGCCCAGGACAGCCGCCTTTTCCTGCAGGCAGGTAGGCGGACAGGTGAGGAGGGCGCACAATCGCTCTTAGCCCAGCCACCACACAGGTGTTTAATGCCCACTGCCCAACACGCACATTGGATTTGGTCGCTCCAGGGCCCCATTTGTAGCAGTGGGTTGGGCGAACCCACTCAGGGCGGCCTAGTTAGCTAAACCAGGGGTGTCCAGTCTTGCAACTTTAAGACTGGTGGGCTTCAGTTCCAAGAGTGTTAGCTACTTGGGTCATGAAACGACTGCAAGGAAATAACCAAGCTCAGAGGGCATAAGGACACCAAAGTTGTCTTCCTCCTCCTCCTCCTCCTCCTCCTTCTCCTCCTCTTCCTCTTCCTCTCTGCAAACCCCACTCCCTTCTAGCACTGATGATGTTCCGTAATGGGGTCATGAAATGTCTGCAAGAAAACCACCAAGCCCAGAGAGCAACAAGGACCTTATAGTCCTCCACCACCACCACCGCCTCCTCCTCCTCCTCCTCCCTTCTAGCACTGATGACGTTTCCTAGTTGGGTCATGAAATGTCTGCAAGAAAATCACCCAGCTCAGAAAACACCCAGGACCCCACAGTCCTTTCCTCCTCCTCCTCCTCCTCCTCCTCCTCCTCCTCCTCCTCCTCCTCCTCCTCCCTTCTAGCCCTGATGCTGTTCCCTAGTTGGGTCATGAAAGATCTGCAAGAAAACCACCCAGCTCAGAGAGCATCAAGGACCTTACACTCCTCCTCCTCCTCCTCCTCCTCCTCCTCCTCCTCCTCCTCCTCCTCCTCCTCTGCCTCCCCCCTTCTAGCACTGATGATGTTCCCTAGTTGGGTCATGAAACGTCTGCAAGGAAACCGCCCAGCCCAGAGATTAACAAGGACCCCACAGTCCTCCTCCTCCTCCTCTTCTTCCTCTTCCTCCTCACACAAAAGGTCTCCCCGTTCTCTTCGTCATTTTTCATGCATGCATTTAACTAATTTCTATGACCTTTCAATCTCATAATCAGGTCTGGGCAGCTAGCGAAGACGTTAAAAAAAATCCAAATTAAATTAAGTGTCCCGGACGATGCGCCAAGAGCCCCCCCCCCCCCCGGATGAGAGAAGATCTCCTGTTCCAGGCACACAGGATGAGCTCTCCTGTCCTCCTGGCTCTGTTTCTGGACAAAATGTTCTGGTTTCTCCCTTTTGGGCCAATTGTTCCCCTGGCAGGGGTCCAGTCCTTGGCTGGGGAGACCCGGAGGTGGGGGGGGGACCCTCTTTCTCTAGACGCTGCCATGCCAAAGGAACACCCAGCAAAGCGGAAAAAGGGCTCAGCTTCAACTGATGGTCACGGCTGCCATCTTGAGTCTCCCCCCCCCCGCATGGTGGCGGATGCAGAGGTGGTCAAAAAAGGCAAGATGGCCGCCACAAGCCCTGCAGGTTTTTGTTATCAAGTGGGCTTCCCTCTGTGTAAGCTAGGGGTAGGCAACCTGGGCTCTTTTATGACTCATGGACTTCAACTCCCAGAATTCCTGAGCCAGCCATGCTGAGGGGAAAGGGAGAGGTTTCCAAGCTGAGCCCTGGTGGCTCAGGAATTCTGGGAGTTGAAGTCCACGAGTCATGAGGGGGCCATAGTTCCCCCATGCTGGCTCAGGAATTCTGGGAGTTGAAGTCCACCAGTTATGAGGGGCCATAGTTCCCCCATGCTGGCTCAGGAATTCTGGGAGTTGAAGTCCACGAGTCATAAAAAAGCCAAGGTTGCCTACCCCTGGCCTAAGTCCTCCTGTTCTAAGCGGTGAGCCTCCTAGACCAGGGGTAGGCAACCTGGGCTGTTTTATGACTGGTGGACTTCAACTCCCAGAATTCCTGAGCCAGCCACGCTGAGGGGAAAGGGAGAGGTTTCCAAGCTGAGCGTTGCTGGCTCAGGAATTCTGGGAGTTGAAGTCCACAAGTCATTAAAGGGCCAAGTTGCCTACCCCTGGTGCAAGCGCTGCCTTGACCCAGGTGAAGAAAGGCAGATTTCAAAGAAAAGTTCAAAACTCACCCCGTGCATCACACGGGGGTCCCTGACTTACAACTATTCATTTAGTGACCATTCAAAATTACAACATCACTGAAAAAAGTGACATGACCGTTTTTCACATTTACGACCATTGCAGCATCCCCAGGGTCACGTGATCAAAATTCAGACGCTTGGCACTGACTCGGTTGCAGCGTCCTGGGGTGGGGGTCACGTGATCCCCAAACAAAGTCAAGGGGGAAGCCAGATTCACTTAACAACCATGTTAGTAATTTAAAAGGGTAGTGATTCACTTAACAACGGTCGTAAGGATGGTTGTAAAATGAGGCAAATGTCTCGCTTAGCAACATAAATTTGTGCTCCATTGTGTGTGTGTGTGTGTGTGCCACTATCCCCGTTCTCCTGCCCTCTAGATCTGTGGGATGACAATATCCACAATCCTCAGATGATGCTAGATCAGTGCTTCTCAACGTTTGTGCACGGCGGCGCCCCCATGCGCGGCGCGCATGCGCGGCGGCGCCCCCGAGGGGGAAAAATGGCGGATCGCCTTGTTTGGCGACCCCCGAGAAATGGTCGATCGACCCCAAATGGGGTCGCGACCCATAGGTTGAGAACCGCTGTGCTAGATGATGCATGATGAGTTTTGTAGTTCAGAGACCTGGAAGGTCTAGGACTCAGAAGGGCCAACATAAAAAACACCATACTTACGGCCACGATTGGGATCAGAATCTCCATTGCTAAGCGAAGTGGTCATTAAGTGAGACGCACCCAATTTTACCATCTTTTTTGTCACAGTCGTTAAGCAAAGCGCTTCAGTTGTTAAGTGAATCGCAGATGACTTTACTTGTCCAAAGTCAGCTGGGAAGGGACACTGGAACTTTTGCGAATCCAGGCCGGTTGCCAAGCAGCCGAGTTTTGACCCCACCTGGATGCCACGACGGTCATAAGTGCGAGGACTTGCGTCAGCTCACTTTTGTCAGAGCTGTTGTCGCAACTCTGAACAGTTGCTAAACAAAAGGCCGTAAATTGAGGTCTGCCTTCAATGGAACCCGTTCCCTGGACTCGGTGAGGATGGGGGCGCCCCCCCGCCTGGCCCCATTTGCCCCCCTGCCTCTCCTGATCTCACCTGGCTGAACTGCTGGTAGGAGGGGTCTCCTGGCTGGGGCCGGTTGACCACAGCGTCCAGGAGAATCTGGCCCGTCACTGGTGGGCACAAGCGGACCGAGACCAGCTTGGTCAGCTGTTGCTGGACCGCCGGGTCCATATTAATCACCTCCATGTAGCCTCCGCGGAAGCCACACCTGGCAAGGTAAGAGAAGAGGCGGGTCTTAAGAAGCAGGTCCTACCCTTCCCTGTCCCACCAGCAGGGGGCGACAGAGTCAAGGAGGAAAGCCTAAGGTGAGAAGAGAGAAGAGAGAAGCAACCTGGAATTAAGGAGAAACTTCCTAACAGGGAAGACAAATCAACCAGTGGAACAGCTTGCCTCCAGAAATTGTGGGCGCTCCATCACGGGAGGTTTTTAAGAAGTGAGTGGACAATCACTTGTCTGAGATGGTATAGGTTCTCCTGCTTGAGCAGGGGGCTGGACTAGAAGACCTCCAGGGTCCCTTCCAGCTCCTATTCTATTCTATTCTATTCTATTCTATTCTATTCTATTCTATTCTATTCTATTCTATTCTATTCATTTGTTATTCTATTCATTTGTTATTCAATTCTATTTGTTATTCTATTCTATTGTATTCTGTTCTATCCTATCCTATTCTACTATTCTATTCTATTCTATATTCTATTCTATTCTATTCTATTCTATATTCTATTCTATTCTATTCTATTCTATATTCTATTCTATATTCTATTCTATTCTATATGCTATTCTATTATTCTATTCTACTCTATTCTATATTCTATATTCTCTATTCTCTATTCTATTCTATTCTATATTCTATTCTATTCTATTCTATTCTATTTTATATTCTATTCTATATTCTATTCTATTCTATATGCTATTCTATTATTCTATTCTACTCTATTCTATATTCTATATTCTCTATTCTCTATTCTATTCTATTCTATTCTATTCTATTCTATATTCTATTCTATTCTATTCTATTCTATATTCTATTCTATATTCTATTCTATTCTATATGCTATTCTATTATTCTATTCTACTCCACTCTATTCTCTATTCTCTATTCTCTATTCTCTATTCTCTATTCTATTCTATTCTATTCTATTCTATTCTATTCTATTCTATTCTATTCTATTCTATATTCTATTCTATTCTATTCTATATTCTATATCCTATCCCATCCTATCCTGGCAAGCCAACGCAGCCCACGCTACTCACTCGCCCATGAAGCCCTTGGAGATCGAGTGGAAGGAGGCCAGCTCAAGGCTCTCCGAATACTTGGGGCCCATCTCAAAAAGCACCTTCTTGAAGGAGTGGAACTTGGAGCCCTCGGCGTAGACGTTGTCCTGGTAGACCTGGTGGAGGAAAAAATAGGTGGCTGGGAGGCAGCAAGGAAAACCCAGCTGGGCAGGGGAAATGTGAACCCACTTAAGTCCCGGGCTCTCTTCCAGATGTTTTTGATGACAGTTCTCCTCATCCCTGACCGTGCGGATTGGATCTGGCGGGTGCCCAACCTCTGCAGGGCATCACATTCACGAAGACGTGAGCCAGGATAGAGGGCCAGGAGCACGGGTGAGACCTGAGCCGGGGCATGGTCTTCTCCTGCCTCAAGGGCCCCACCCTGCAAAGGGAGGAGTTGGGGGGGGCAAACGGCTCAGTTTTGGGGGACAGGAGAGAATTCCAAGACTGTACCTCATCTGCCATGAGAAAGAGACGCTCTTCCCAAGCAAAGCGGATGACCTCTTCGATGCATTTGCGGCTTTGGACCTGACCTGCAGAGAGAAAGAGAGGAATAAGGGGGCGGGAAGAGGTTCACTGAAGGAAGCTGTTTCAGAGAAGGACCCCGGGGCTCGGAACAAGCCCCCAGAACCCGGGGAGCGGAGAAGGGAAATGACCCCCCCCCCAAATCAGTCTCTGCCAAGGGGTCAGCTTAATGGTCAAGCTGAGTCTTCCAAAGAAAGCCTTCTTCCCACAAAAGGAGGAGATCTGTAGCACAGGGCCAACAGGCAGGGCCCCTGGTGCTCCTTGCATTGGTTGCTTTCTAGGTAACATCATCAAGGCTAGAAGGTAATAGTAATAGTAGTAAAGTTGGAAGGGACCTTGGAGGTCATCTAGTCCAACCCCCTCCTCAGGCAGGAAACCCTACACCATTTCGGACAAATGGCTGTCCAGTCTCTTCTTAAAAACTTCCAGTGTTGGAGCATTCACCGCTTCTGGAGGCAGGTAGTTCCACTGGTTAATTGTTCTCACTGTCAGGAAGTTTCTCCTTAGTTCTAGGTTGCTTCTCTCCTTGATTAGTTTCCATCCGTTGCTTCTTGTCCTGCCTTCAGGGGCTTTGGAGAATAGCTTGACTCCCTCTTCTTTGGGGCAGCCCCCGAGATATTGGAAGACTGCTATCCTGTCCCCCCTCGTCCTTCTCTTCATTAAACTAGACGTACCCAATTCCTGCAACTGTTCTTCCCATGTTTTAGCCTCCAGTCCCCTGATCATCTTTGTTGCTCTTCTCTGTACTCTTTCTAGAGTCTCAGCATCTTCTTTACATCATGGTGACCAAAACTGGATGCAGGATTCCAAGTGTGGCCTTACCAAGGTGGAGTTTGCAGGGAGGAGGAGGAGGAGTCAAGGACTACCTGTAACTAGGTTAGCGTAGTGGAAAATCTAGCTTGTAAGACCCCCTTCTGGCCATCCCAGCACAGCCTCATGGTTCTTGACTTCCCCCTTGCTTTCTCCGTGGGCCCTTCGCAGGACACGGGGGGGGGGGGACTCTCCTGTTGATGAGGCCGTCGCTCGTCCAGGGACGAAAGGGTGGGCTGACAGGAGCTGCTCTGCTCTTGGCTTCTGCCGTCAGGGGAGACGGAGAAGAACCAGAACGGAGCCCTTCAGCGCCAAGCTCAGCCAAGGGGACTCTGTAAACAGCCTCGGAGCCAAGTTTATTCAAGAGTCCCTCAAGGGCAGTGTTTCTCAACCTTGACCATTTTAAGGCATGTGGACTTCAACTCCCAGAATTCCACAGCCAGCATTGCTGGCTGTGGAATTCTGGGAGTTGAAGTCCACATGCCTTAAAATGGTCAAGGTTGAAAAACACTGCTCAAGGGAATGTTATCAAAGCCTGCTTGGGAATTCATGTGCATGAAAAAAAAAAAAACCCCACCAAGGTCATCCAAACTCAGAAGCTGCCGTGGCTCTTGAAAAAATCCGGGTGAGGCAACGGCTGACCTGGATGGAACAGGCCTTGGGGGGGGGGGGTCCTGGGGGCTGGTGGAGTCTGGATGTTTTCTGGCAGGTGTTTCATTACTAGTATGAGCCGAGGTGGCGCAGCAGGTAGAGTACAGTACTGCAGGCCACTTTAGCTGACTGTGTCCAGCAGGTCAGCGGTTCAAATCTCACCGGCTCAAGGTTGACTCAGCCTTGCATCCTTCCGGGGTAGGTAAAATGAGGACCCAGATTGTTGGGGGCAATGTAAATATATATATATACATTGCTTACTGGTGTACACCGCTTAGAGAGTGCTTGCACTTAAAGCGGTATATAAGTCTCATAAATAAATAAATAAATAAAGTGTAGGCCAGGGGTCTGCAGCCTTGACCACTTTCAAGACTTGTGGACTTCAGCTCCCAGAATTCTTCAGCTCAGCTCAAGTCCACAAGTCCACAAGTGCTCAAGGTTGCAGACCCCAAGTTTAGGTGAGGTCGTCTGCGCTGATGTTCTTCAGTCTAGCAATGGGGATGCTACTTAGATAGGTAATGAAATACCTGTAACAAAACAGCCAAGCACAGAGAGCATCAAATACTCCAGAGTCGTCACTCTCCTCCTCTTCCTCCTCCCTGCAAACGCCATTTCCCTCTAGCACTGATGATGTTACCTAGTTGGGTCATGAAACGTCTGCAACACAACCACCGGGCTCAGAGAGCACCAAGGACCCCACAGTCCTTGCTCTCCCCCTTCATGGGGAGGCCCATAAGCTCCTTTCCCCAAAAGGTGGGTCTGTGCCTTGACACCACTTATGGGGTCTTGAGAGGCACCCTCTTCATCTGCCCCGCGGTGGGACCCGACCTGTGGGGTTGCCCGGGTTGATGACACAGAGAACCCGCGGTTGGCAATGTCTCCGAGCCTGGAGTAGCGCCCTCCGCAGCTCCTCAATGTTCAGAGCCCAGCCATTGTCCTCGTCCAGGAAGTAGTTGATCTGCTGCGCGTTGAGTTCGGCCAGCGTCGCTGAGTAGAGCGGGTATTGGGGGATGGGGATCATCACGCCTGTTCGGGAGGACCCCTCCCCCGAGACCAGCAGCTTCAGGATGGTCTAAGGGAGAAAGGGGGTTAGCAACACCAGCAGCGGCTCAGAACGGTTGCAGGACTTGGGGATGTCTAGTCCAGGGGTAGGCAACCTCGGCTCTTTTATGACTGGTGGACTTCAACTCCCAGAATTCCTGAGCCAGCATGGGGGAACTATGACCCCTTCATGACTCGTGGACTTCAACTCCCAGAATTCCTGAGCCAGCATGGGGGAACTATGGCCCCTTCATGACTCGTGGACTTCAACTCCCAGAATTCCTGAGCCAGCATGGGGGAAATATGGCCCCCTCATGACTCGTGGACTTCAACTCCCAGAATTCCTGAGCCAGCTATGTCCACAAGTCATAAAAGAGCCGAGGTTGCCTACCCCTGGTCTAGTCTAATGAAGAGAAGGACGAGGGAGGACATGATAGCAGTATCTCAGGGGCTGCCCCAAAGAAGAGGGAGTCAAGCTATTCTCCAAAGCGCCTGAAGGCAGGAGAAGAAGCAACGGATGGACACTCATCAAGGAGAGAAGCAACCTGGAACTAAGGAGAAACTTCCCGACAGTGAGAACAATTAACCAGTGGAACTACCTGCTTCCAGAAGTGGTGAGTGCTCCAACACTGGAAGTTTTTAAGAAGAGACTGGATGGCCATTTGTCTGAGATGGTGTAGGGTTTCCTGCCTGAGCAGGGGGTTGGACTAGATGACCTCCAAGGTCCATTCCAAAATTCTGTTTTTCTGTTAAGGCCCCGAGTCCCCCACCAGCTCTTTGTAGCCAAAGGACAGAGGGGTCCCTGGTATTCTCCGAGCTTGCTTGTTTTCTTGCAGACGTTTCAGGACCCGACGAGGTATCGTCATCAGTGCTAAAAGGGAATGCTGGGGGGGGGGGAGGTCTTAGGAATGCGTTAGTTGGACTGTCTACTAATGGCTCTGTGGCTGTTCCTTGAATGGGGTCTTGCTTACTTGATTGTTGGCCTGCATAATCTATAGAGGTTGTCAATGTCTATGCGTTTATTGATGGCTGAATTGTCAGAGTGCCTGGCTTGTAGAAATTCCCTGGCAGTTCTAGAAGCCTTGACTTATGACCACAAATGAGAACATTTCCGTTGTTAAGCAAGGCAGTTTTTTTTTCCTCCTTGTGCATTAAGATTCTAAGACAGTTGCTAGTTTTAGAATAGAATAGAATAGAATAGAATAGAATAGAATAGAATAGAATAGAATAGAATAGAATAGAATAGAATAGAATAGAATGGAATGGAATGGAATGGAATATAGAGTAGAGTAGAGTAGAGTAGAATAGAATAGAACAGAACAGAATATATGGAATAGAATATAGAATAGAATAGAATAGAATAGAATAGAATAGAATGGAATGGAATGGAATGGAATGGAATGGAATAGAATGGAATAGAATGGAATGGAATGGAATATAGAATAGAGTAGACTAGAGTAGAGTAGAGTAAATAGAATAGAATAGAACAGAATATATGGAATAGAATAGAATAGAATAGAATAGAATAGAATAGAATAGAATAGAATAGAATAGAATATATGGAATAGAATATAGAATAGAATGGAATGGAATGGAATGGAATATAGAATAGAATAGAATAGAATAGAATAGAATAGAATAGAATAGAATAGAATAGAATATAGAATATAGAATAGAGTAGAGTAGAGTGGAGTGGAGTGGAGTGGAATGGAATGGAATGGAATAGAATAGAGCTGGAAGGGACCTTGGAGGTCATCTAGTCCAACCCCATGCTGAGGCAGGAAACCCTAGACCATTGCAGAGAAATGGCTGTCCAGTCTCTTCTTAAAAACTTCCAGTGTTGGAGCATTCACCGCTTCTGGAGGCAAGGAGTTCCACTGGTTAATTGTCCTCACTGTCAGGAAGTTTCTCCTTAGTTCCAGGTTGCTTCTCTCCTTGACTAGTTTCCATCCGGTTTTTTCTCACCCTTCCCTCTGGTGCTTTTTTGAAAATGAAGTGAGGGGGGGGGCATTCTGGTGTCAATCAAGCCAGGAGACGGTCACAGCAACTTCTCTACTTGGGAGCCCCCCCCCCAACCTTAGCAGCCCTCACCCCCCCCCCCACCTGCCTGGGGGTCCTGGGCAAGACCATTCGCTCCCTTGGCTGCCCCACTTCTCCCAGGAGAGGGAGAGTGCCCGGAACAGAGACAAAGGGGGCCTTGTGTGGTTGTTGCCATGCCCGGCGCTGTCCCTGGCGAGGAGAGCTGCGAAGGGGTCCTGTGGGGGGGGGGCATTGGGGCGGGTGCCTCCTTGTGAGTGGCAGCTTGGCTCTTTTGTGCAAGAGGAGAAATGCAATGGTGGCACCTTTGGAAAGAGGAGGGAGGGAGGGAGGGGGGAGGAGGAGGAGAGGAAGAAGGAGGAAGAGAAGGAAGAGGAGGAGGAGGAAGAAGAGGGGAGGAGGGGGGACAGGAGGAGGAAGAGGAGGAGAAGGAGGAGGAGGAGGGGAGAAGGGAGAGGAGGAAGAGGAGAAGGAGGAGGAGAAGAGGAAGAAGAGGAGGAGGAGGAGGAGGAGGAGGGGAGAAGGGAGAGGAGGAAGAGGAGAAGGAGGAGGAGAAGAGGAAGAGGAGGAGGAGAGGGGATGAGGGGGAGGAGGAGCAGGTGAAGGAGGAGGGGGAGTTGGAGGAAGAGGAGGAAGGAGGAGGAGGAGGAAGGAGACAAGGGGTGGAGGAGGAGGAGGAGGAGGAGGAGGAGGGGGACAAGGGGGATGAGGAGGAGAAGGAGGAGAAGGAAGAGGAAGAGGAAGAAGAGGAGGAGGAGGAGGAGGAGGAGGGGAGAAGGGAGAGGAGGAAGAGGAGAAGGAGGAGGAGAAGAGGAAGAGGAGGAGGAGAGGGGATGAGGGGGAGGAGGAGCAGGTGAAGGAGGAGGGGGAGTTGGAGGAAGAGGAGGAAGGAGGAGGAGGAGGAAGGAGACAAGGGGTGGAGGAGGAGGAGGAGGAGGAGGAGGAGGGGGACAAGGGGGATGAGGAGGAGAAGGAGGAGAAGGAAGAGGAAGAGGAAGAAGAGGAGGAGGAGGAGGAAGAGGAAGAGGAAGAGGAGGAGGAGGAGGAAGGGGACAAGGGGAACGAGGAGGAGAAGGAAGAGGAAGAGGAAGAGGAAGAGGAGGAAAAGAGGAGGGGGAGGAGGAGGAAGAGGAGGAGGAGGAGGAGCTCAGAGAGCAACAAGGACCCTACAGTCCTCCCTCTCCCCCTCCCCCTCCCCCTCCTCCCCATTCCCCTCCTCCTCCTCCTTATAAACCCCCTCCCTCCTGGCACTGATGGTGTTCCCTAGCTGGGTCCTGAAACGTCTGCATGAAAACCACCATGTTCAGAGAGCCCCAGGGACCCCCCAGAGAAACCTTTGTGTCCTTCAGCCTGGAGCCACCTGAATTCACATCCCCCCCCCCACTTTCCACAGTGGCTCCCCCAGCCTCGGGCTCCTTACCACCACGGCGCTGCTGGCCCCCGTCGACAGGTAGATGTTCTCCGGGCTGGAGGGGATCCCCCCATCTCGGCGTTGGATGAAGGCAGCCACATCCTGGCGGATAAGCTGGATCCCAGGACTGGCACTGTAGGCCCCTGATGGGGGGAGAAGGCAGGGACAGGAAATGGGGGGGGGCGAGGAGGAGGAGGAGGAGGGGGCTCTGCAGCCCAGACTGGTCTTTTGGGGGGGGGGAACCCTGCAGGGGCCACGGATGGAGCCACAGCTATTTATGATTTCCTTTTATTTATCAAATAAAGGCAACTCTGGGCAGCCTATACATCTTATATCTAAGGTAACTCTGGGGGAGAAAGGGGGGGGGCACGCCATGCTCAAGGCCGCTGGGCCTGGGGAGCCCCCCCAATGAGGCCGCAACGTCATGCTGGCCTAATTGCTGGGATCACATGTGACGCCTGGGGGGGGGGTCCCTCACCCCTCCTCGCCCTCCTTCAGACCCCCTTGCAAAGAGGAGGGTCCGAGGCTCGGGGTCCAGTCTAGCCAACCCCACCCCAGGTCTCCAGAAGATGCTTCATCCGGAGCAGCCCAACAGGACCGCCCACAGCCGGTGGCTTTGCATGCTCCCCCCATATAGAGGGGCCAACAACCAAGGGAAGCCCCCTCCCCATCTGAAAGAGGCATCATTCTTTGCTCCGGAGTGGGGGTCTCCAACCCTGGCCACTTTAAGACTTGTGGACTTCAACTCCCAGAATTCCCCAGCCAGCGCATGCTGGCTGGGGAATTCTGGGAGTTGAAGTCCACAAGTCTTAAAGTGGCCAGGGTTGGAGACCCCTGCCCCAGGTCACCCAGGAGGTCATCTGGTCCACCTTGACCAGCCTGCTGAAATCTGGACCTTTCCTCAATTTACCGACAGTTCCTTTAGTGACCGTTCAAAGTTACAACAGCCCTGGGAGGAAAAAAAAATGGATTTATGACCGTTTTCCCCACCTAACAACCGTTGCAGCATCCTCACCGTCCCATGAGCAAAATTCCGACGCTCGGCCACTGACTCGCACTTATGACGCGTTATAGCATCGCAGGGTCATGCAAAATCCTCTTTTTGTGACCTTCCAATAACGGGGAATCCGGTGTCAGTTAACAACCGCATTCCTCGCTTAACAACGTGCAGGGGTTCGCTCGATAACCAAGAAACGTGGTAAAACCTCTGGACGGAAATTTGGGCTCCATTGTTGGACATAAAGCGAGGACTTACTTACACGTCCATGGAAACAGAGATCAAATTTGTTCGGAGGGATGAAACTGGAGGGTCCGGCTTTTCCGGGGGGGGGGGGTGTCTCAGAGGCTCAGGTGACTCTTCCTAGGACCCCTTTTAAGAGGGGGAGGGAAGCAGGGACACCCCCCCCCCCAGGGATGTCCAGACACTCACCAATGCTCTGCCCTCCGCACGCGGCCAGGAGTCGCCGGGCTTTCTGCTTTGCGTCTTCGGGAAAATCGGGGGAATTCAGCAGGTCGGGGTACATGCAGAGGGCGCTGACCTGTGGGGGGGGCAATTAGGGTGATGCTGCAGCCTCCCCCCCCTCACCATCCCCCCCTCTTCCCCCCACCTCCCAGGTCTCCCACCCGAGGTATTCGTGGGCTCTCTGCACAGACTCAGAGTCCCTCTGTTCCGGATACCAAGGCTGTCTGGGTCAGTCTGAGGGACCCCCCCCCCCAGCAAATGGGGCTAAGCCTGACCAGGGGAGGGTCTCTCCCGCCCCCTCCCCCGCCTCCTGCACATACCTGGCGCACGAAAGTGATGGGCTTCTGCCCCATCGCTTGCGCATCCCCAATGTTGGCTGCAATCACTTCCGCGAAGGGCTTCTTGACCCCCTGCAAAGATGGAGGTCACTTTTATTGCCATTTCCCTGTATTGTCGGTCCTCGGCTTACGACAGTTCATTTAGTGACCGTTTGAAGTTACAACGGGATGGAAAAAAAGTGACCTACGGCTGTTTCCCACACTTACGACCCCAGAGTCACGTCGTCAAAATTCGGATGCCTGGCCACTGACTCGCACTTATGACGGTCTCAGTGTTCTGGGGGGGGTCACGTGATCCCCTTTTATGACCTCCTGACAAGCAAAGCCAAGGGGGAGGCCGGATTCATTTAACGACCGTGTGGCAACTTAATATCCGCCATGATTCTATGGCAAGAAAGGGGGTCAAATGGGCCCAAACTCCCTTAACGACCGTCTCGCTTAGCAACGGAAATTTTGGTCTCAGTTGTGGACGTATGTGGAGGACTACCTGTACTGGGGAATTCCAGTTTTGCTGGCTGGGGAATTCTGGGAGTTGTAGTCCACAAGTCTTAAAGTTGCCAGTGTTGCCCCCCCCAATATCTGAGGGGTGGTCACAAAAAAGAAGGGGGCTCAACCTCTTCCCCAAAGACCCCGAAGGCAGGACAAGAAGCAACGGATGGAAACTCATCAAGGACAGAAGCAACCTGGAACTAAGGAGAAACTTCCTGACAGTGAGGACAATTAACCAGTGGAACAGCTTGCCACCAGAAGTTGTGAATGCTCCACCACTGGAGGTTTTTAAGAAGAGATTGTCTGTAATGGCATAGGATCTCCTGCCTGAGCAGGGGGTTAGACTAGAGGACCTCCAAGGTCCCTTCCAACTCTGTTGTTCTTTTTTTCCTTCCTTCCATCCTTTCTTCCTCCCTCCTTCCCTTCTCCAATACTGAAAGTTTTTAAGAAGAGACTGGACAGCCATTTTTCTGTAATGGCATAGGACAGGGGTAGGCAACCTGGCCCCTTTTATGACTCGTGGACTTCAATTCCCAGAATTCCTGAGCCAGCCATGCTGAGGGGAAAGGGAGAGGCTTCCAAGCTGAGCCGTGCTGGCTCAGGAATTCTGGGAGTTGAAGTCCACCAGTCATAAAAGAGCCAAGGTTACCTACCTATGGTCTACGAGGCTCACCGTTTAGAACAGGAGGACTTAGGACAGGGGTAGACAACCTTGGCTCATTTACGACTCATTTATGGGGGAATTATGGCCCTCCTCATGACTCGTGGACTTCAACTCCCAGAATTCCTGAGCCAGCGTGGGGGTACTATGGCCCCCTCATGACTCGTGGACTTCAACTCCCAGAATTCCTGAGCCAGCGTGGTTCAGCTTGGAAATCTCTCCCTTTCCCCTCAGCATGGCTGGCTCAGGAATTCTGGGAGTTGAAGTCCACGAGTCATAAAAGAGCCCAGGTTGCCTACCCCTGGCATAGGATCTCCTGCCTGAGCAGGGGGTTGGACTAGAAGACCTCCAAGGTCCCTTCTGAGTCTGTTCTTCTGACTTCCTTTCCCACCTGGCTCTGACGTGGGGGAGAAACCTAGAGGACATCAAGGTCAGCTTCACCCATCCTGCCGTCCTTGGGCGCCTTTGCCTGCCTCCTTATCGCCTCGAAAATGATTGCACGGTATTTGCCTAAAAGTTAAGGCAGTTCCTTGGGCATTGGTTTCTCACGGGGGAAGGCGCCAAGGCTGCCCTCCCCTCACAGGGACTTGCCAGATCATTCTTCTGCAGGCAGAGTCACCAGAAACAGTATAACAGAGTTGGAAGGGACCTTGGAGGTCTTCTAGTCCAACCCCACCCCCACTGCTCAAGCAGGAGATTCTATACCAGGAATGTTCAAACTTGGGAACTTTAAGGCTTGTGGAGAATTCCCCAGCCCTAGACCATCCCAGTCAGATGACTGTCCAGTCTCTTCTTAAAAACTTCCAGTGTTGGAGCATTCACAGCTTCTGGTGGCAAGCTGTTCCACTGGTTAATTGTTCTCACTGTCAGGAAGTTTCTCCTTAGTTCCAGGTTGCTTCTCTCCTTGATGAGTTTCCACCCGTTGCTTCTTGTCCTGCCCTCAGGCCCTTTGGAGAATAGCTTGACTCCCACTTCTTTGGGGCAGCCCCTGAGATACTGGAATAATGCTATCATGTCCCCCCCTCGTCCTTCTCTTCATTAAACTAGACATCCACAATTCCAGCAACCGTTCCTTATATGCTTTAGCCTCCAGTCCCCTGATCATCTTTGTTGCTCTTCTCTGCACTCTTTCTAGAGTCTCAACATCTTTTTATATTGTGGTGACCAAAACTGGATGCCGTATTCCAAGTGTGGCCTTACCAATGCAGTATAAAGCGGTACTAATGCTGGACCCATCCAGTGTATGAACACTCCTGGGTGGAGTTGCCCATATAATAATGGGAATTGTAGTCCCTGCATATCTGGATGGACAGAGACGCTGGAACAACCAGCCATGACCAATCCACCTGGTACCTCGGAGCCTTCAGCTGCTCCGAGGGGTCAGGCCAGGCTCATCCCAGCCAGCCCGACTCAGAGCTAACCAGGCCCCCAATAGCCTCCAAGTCTAGGTCAGCCTAGGAAGTGGAGTCATCCGCAATGAGGTCAAGAGGTCATCAAGAAGAGCCCAGCAGGTCAACTGGGGGATGAGCCAACAGAAAGGCTTAGGAAGGATCCTTCCACATCATCCTGGGCCAGGAGAGGTGATCTACTCCGAGGGACCTCGTAGTCCTAGTAGACAATCACCTAAATAGGAGCCAGCCGTGTGCTGCAGCTGCCAAAAAGGCCAACACAGTGCTAGGCTGCATCAACAGAGGGATAGAATCAAGATCACGTGAAGGGTTAAGACCGCTTTACAAGGCCTTGGTAAGGCCACACTTGGAATACGGCATCCAGTTTTGGTCACCACGATGTGGAGACTCCAGAAAGAGTGCAGAGAAGAGCAACAGAGATGATTAGGGGACTGGAGGCAAAAACATATAAGGAACGGTTGCTGGAATTGGGGATGTCTAGTTTAACGAAGAGAAGGATGAGGGGGGACAAGATAGCAGCCTTCCAGTATCTCAGGGGCTGCCCCAAAGAAAAGGGAGTCAAGCTATTCTCCAAATCGCCTGAAGGCAGAACAAGAAGCAACGGGTGGAAACTAACCAAGGAGAGAAGCAACCTAGAACTAAGGAGAAACTTCCTGACAGTGAGAACAATTACCCAGTGGAACAACCTGCCTCCAGAAGCAGTGAATGCTCCAACACTGGAAGTTTTTAAGAAGAGACTGGACAGCCATTTGTCCGAAATGGTGTAGGGTTTCCTGCCTGAGCAGGGGGTTGGACTAGATGACCTCCAAGATCCCTTCCAACTTTACTATTATTATTATTATTACTCTGGAAGTCCCTGAGACCCACTCTGAGTCCCACCTTGAGGGGTTTCTCCTGGACAGGGGTCTTCTCTGGATCCCACCCATATCAGCTCTGAGGGCCAGGAAGAAGACTGCCCTTCTTCCCAGGGGACCGCTTGACTACCGGCACCCCATAATCTGCGAGGGTCTTTATGCAAAGCCCCCCAAACCCACCTCCCTCATCTCTTGCAGCTTGCACCTCACCAGACCCAGGTCAGCATCCAGGCTTCATTCAAGAGATTCCCCCCCCCCTTCTCCCCTCTGGGGCTCCCAGCTCCCGTTTCCTTTCGTTTGATCAGGGGGCATTAAGGAGAATAGGGCATATTTACAGGCGGTCCTCGGCTTACGGGCACAGTTGAGCTCCACTTTTTTCGTTGCTAAGCAAGACAGGTGTTCAGTGAATTTTGCCCTGTTTTACGGCCTTTCCTGCCACAGCTGTTAAGCGAATCACTGCAGTTCTTAAATGAGTAACCCGGTTGCTAAGTGAATCCGGCTTCCCCAGGTCGCAAAAGGGGTCACGTGACCCCCCCAGGGGATGCTGCGACCGTCATAAATATGAGTCAGTTGCCAAGCGTCCCAAATTTGATTGCATGATGCTGCAACGGTCGTAAGTGGGAAAAACAAACGTAAGCCCCTTTTTTCAGCGCCGTCGCAACTTTGGACGGACACCAAACGAACTGTCATTAAGTTGGAGACTGTCTGTATTCCAGGAGAGTCAAGACAAAACCGCCCGTGTTGAAAGACGCTATCCTTTCGGGTAGATAGTGTGATGGGCGGGATATAAATTTAATCCTTAAATTAAACTAAATTAAAAACTGAAGTAAGCTAAACACTAAGCTAAAAACCAAAGTAAAGCAAAGCAAAGTAAAAACTAATAAAGAAAGCAAGCCGCTAAGTCAGTGGTTCTCAACCTTTCTAATGCCACGACCCCATAATACAGTTCCCCATGTTGTGGTGACCCCCAACCACTTATACATCACCAGGTGCCAGGGGCGTGGCCAAAGAAAAGGGGAAAAAAATGGCGGACTGCGTTGTTTGGTGACCCCCGTGAAATAGTCGTTCGACCCCAAATGGGGTCCCGACCCACAGGTTGAGAACCACTGCGCTAAGTCAACTTTCCAACTTACGAACAGACACGTGATCCAGTCAGTTGCCCGGCTTACCTGCTTCAGCTCCTTCTGCAGCTGGTTGGCCCGGGCAACGATGGGCCCCCGCACGGCGTACTCCACCTTCCGGACGTGGGGGTTCATGGACTCCAGGGTCAGGACCCTGTCCTTCGGCGCTGCCCGGCTGTCCGCCATCCCCGGCTGCTTCGCCTGCCGCCGCAGCGCCCTGCAATGCAAAAGAGGTTCGGGGCTGAGCAAGGGGACCCCCGAGCAGAGCGGCCCCCTCGCCTGGACCCCAGGCAGCCTGCTGCTCAGGACCACCCTGGCAAAGCGAAGCCTCAGCATCGGCCCCGACGGCTTCAGCTGCTGCAGGGGAAAGAGATCCGCTGCTCGGGATCCGGGCTGGGGGAGGGAAGCCAGGATCCACCGCACAGGTGGCCGAACTCTCTCCCTTCCCAAGTTGCTGGGAGTTTTCCGAGGGGGGGGGCTGGCTCAAATCCAAGCAAGGGGGGAGCCCAGCTCCGAGACAGCCCCCTCCTCTCCCAGCCTTGGGCTCAAGGCCTCCCTCCCGCCCCCCAGCCGAAGGAGGGACCCACCGGGCTCCCAGGCCACCGAGCAGCTGTTCCCACATGGGCTGTGGGGAGGGGAGGACGCTGCTCCTTTAAACCCTGGCCGGCCGGAGGGAGGAGACTGGCTGGAAGAAAGCCGGGCATTGTGCAGGCACTGAAAGGATCTGGCCCTTGCACCGCCAGACCCACAACGATGCGGGAACAAAGCCGAAACTGGCTGTCCCACCGAGGCTCTGCCTGCCAACCGCGGGCAGCGTGCCCAGGTGGCAGAGAGGAGGGAGGGAAGGGCTGGCTGCCTGCCTCGCCCTCACTTGCACCCGGAGGAAGGGGCAGGGCCGCCCAGAGGAGGGATGCAAAGGCTCAGCCCAAAGGCAAAAGGCCTGGCCGGGATGCCCCTCCGCCCTGAACGGGCCCTCCACCCCCAAAAGTGCACTTCCTGATGCTCTAACCCCCTAGGATCCCTTTCCAGAACAGGTGGCATCTGGGCACTGCCAGTTGCTGGCAACAGCTCCACCCCATCTTGGCCCGAAGAGTGTATTATATTATTTAGATTTAGATTATTTAGATTTAGATGATTTAGATTTAGATTATTTAGATTTAGATCTAGATTATTTAGATTTAGATGAGTTAGATTTAGACTGAGTTAGACTTAGATTGATTTAGATTTAGATTGATTTAGATTTAAATTTAGATTTAGATGATTTAGATTTAAATTTAGATTTAGATTATTTAGATTTAGATCTAGATTATTTAGATTTAGATGATTTAGATCTAGATTGAGTTAGATTTAGATCTAGATTATTTAGATTTAGATGAGTTAGATTTAGACTGAGTTAGATTTAGATTGATTTAGATTTAGATTGATTTAGATTTAAATTTAGATTTAGATGATTTAGATTTAAATTTAGATGATTTAGATTTATATCTAGATTCGTTAGATTTAGATATAGATGATTTAGATCTAGATTGAGTTAGATTTAGATCTAGATTATTTAGATTTAAATGAATTAGATTTAGACTGAGTTAGATTTAGATTGATTTAGATTTAGATTGATTTAGATTTAAATTTAGATTTAGATGATTTAGATTTAAATTTAGATTTAGATTGTTTTTTACCTTATTTACTTTATTATTGTATTGTACTGGACAGGTGGTCCTCAACTTACAACCATTCTTTTAGTGACCCGTCAAAGTTACGACGACACTGAAAAAAAGGGACATATGATTATTTCTCACACTTACGACGGTTGCATGGGTCACATGATCAAAATTCAGACAGTTGGCAACTGACGCACATTTATGACAGTTGCAGAGGCCCGGCACCAGGAGCGGATGCCCTGCAGAGAAGCTGAACTTCATCTCCCAGAATCCCTCTGGTCTTGCTGGACTACTGGGAGATGCCATTCAATAAGAAGCAGACCAGGCTGGGATGCACTGGGCTTTTTTTTTTTCTTTGAAAACGTTTCGCTCTTTGTCCAAGAAGCTTCTCCATCCAGAAGTTCTTCCCATGAAGAACTGAAGAAGCAAAACGATTTCAAAGGGGAAAAAAAACAAGAAAGTCCAGTTGCCTTGTGGAAAAGCCCCTTTGGGACAATCACGATCCAGGTGTGCTGGTGGAGAATCTCCATAGACCAGGGGTAGGCAAGCTTGGCTCTTTTATGACTCGTGGACTTCAACTCCCAGAATTTCTGAGCCAGCTGTGCTGGCTCAGGAATTCTGGGAGTTGAAATCCACGAGTTATAAAAGAGCCAAGCTTGCCTACCTCTGCCATAGATAATGAGGGATGCAAATCTGCATCTAGAAGCCCCCCCTCCAGCTCCTGTAGACCACCACTTTGCATCAAACACAGCGTAGGATCGATCAATCAGAATAGATCTGGAAGGGACCTTGGAGGTCTTCTAGTCCAGCCCCCTGCTCAAGCAGGAGACTCTATACCATTTCAGACATGTGACTGTCCAGTCTCTTCTTAAAAACCTCCAGTGTTGAATCACCCACAACGTCTAGTAGCAAGCTGTTCCACTGGTTAATTGTCCTCACTGTCAGGAAGTTTCTCCTTAGTTCCAGGTTGCTTCTCTCCTTGATTAGTTTCCATCTGTTATTTCTTGTCTTGCCTTCAGGTGCTTTGGAAAAAAAAAGTTGATCCCCTTTTTCTTTGTGGCAGCCCCTCAAATACTGGAATACTGCTCTCATGTCCTCCCTGGTCCTTTTCTCCAGACTGGCCATTCCCAAATCCTACAGCCGTTCTTCCTATGTTTTAGTCTCCAGGCCTTGGATCCTCTTAGTTGCTCTTCTCTGCACTTTTTCCAAAGTCTCAACATCTTTTTTGTGATAGGGTGACCAAAATTGGCTGCAGTATTCCAGATGTGGCCTCACGAGGATTTTATAAAGCGGTACTAATACTTTGCGTGATCTTGATTCTATGCCTCTCTGTTTATACAACCCAGGATTGTGTTAGCTTTTTTGGCTGCTGCTGCACACGCCTGGCTCTTGGTCAAGTGATCGTCCACTAGGACTCCAAGGTCCCTCTCACAGTTGCTGTTTTTGAGCCAGGTCTCGCCTAATTTGTATTTATATCTTTGATTTTTCCTGCCTAAATGTAAAACTTTGGTTATCTCCACATTGAAACTCATTTTGTTGGACAGGGTCCATTGTTCAAGTTGGCCAAGTTCTTTTGGGATCCTGAGTTTGTCTTTTGGGTGTTGGCTACTTCTGACAGTTTGGTGTCATCTGCAAATTTGATGAGTTCCCCTTCTATTCTCTCATCTAAGTGTTTGAGGCTATCGTGTCTCCCCCCCCACCCAGTCCTGCTTTTCTCTAGACTAGCTAAACCCAAATCCTTGCAACCGTCCTTCCTATCTTTTCGTCTCCAGGCCTTGGATCCTCTTAGTTGCTCTTCTCTGCACTTTTTCCAAAGTCTCAGCATCTTTTTCGTAATGTGGGGACCAACATGGACGAAGTCTTCCAGGTGCCCATGGGAAAACCCTCACTAAGAGAAGCCACAGCTTCTCCCCCACCTCGCACAGCCCTGTGTGTTGTCATAGCGCGAGAGGTGAGCCAGATGCCCTTAAAACTGCCCATGTTGGCCAAAAAGGTGGCTTTGCAGGAGCCAGGCGGAACGCCACCCTGGGAAGTCACTCCCAAGGTAACGGTGACCCTGGGGGAAAGGAGGGCGAGGCGGAATGGGTCAGGGTGGGTCCCAAGCTGGCCGGGACGATCCGAGGAAATGTGATCCGATGTTTCATCCGGCTGAGGCCTTGAGCAAACACGCTCGCCTGCAAACCTGAGGAACAGGTTGGGTCTTGAGCGTGGGAGAAGCCGGGTCAGGAGAGGACAATGGCAAGCCTCAACGCTAAACTCCCTGCAGGCTACCCAGGACATCTGGATTTCCCCCCCCCCCAGACCTCTCTGAGACAAGAGGGGCCCTGGGGAGACCCCCCCACTCGTGGGCTGGTGGTCTCTCTCCAGCACAAAAGGGGAGGGAACAGCCAAAGAACCCCCCACAAGAAGCCTCTTGGGGAAGGGCTGAGAAGAATCACCCCTCTCCAACTTGGAAGCTGTGCAACCCCTGGATCCAGAACCCGGGATTCAGCCGGTTCTTCTGCACTGACAGGCAGATCAGCGTGGAGTAATTTCTCAGATCGCGTGACAGCTCTTATTTTCGATCCGACCACTTCTCCTTTTTAGAAATCTCTTGCCAGATTGAGCAGGGGGTTGGACTAGAACAGGGGTCTCCAGCCTTGGCAACTTTATGACACTGGACTTCAACTCCCAGAATTCCCCCAGGCAGTGCATCCTCCTCCTCCTCCTCCTCCTCTCTGCAAACTCCACTTCCATCTAGCACTGATGATGTTCCCTAGTTGGGTCATGAAACGTCTGCAAGGAAACCACCCAGAGATCACCAGGGACCCCACAGTCCTCCTCCCCCTCCCCCTCCCTCTCTCCCTCCTCGCCAACTCTGCTTCCATCTAGCCCTGATGATGTTCCCTAGCTGGGTCATGAAACGTCTGCAAGGAAACCACCCAGCTCCGAGAGCACCAAGGACCCCACAGTCCTCGTCTTCCTCCTCCTCCTCCTCCTCCTCCTCCTCCTCCTCCTCCTCCTCCTCCTCCTCCTCCTCCTCCTCGCCAACTCTGCTTCCATCTAGCACTGATGATGTTCCCTAGTTGGATCATGAAACATCTGCAAGAAAACACCTGGCATGCTGCCCCCCCCGGGGGGCGAGGTGGGCGAGAGGGGCCCTGAGCTCCAGCCCACGAGCAGAGTTTCCCCGTCCTACCTTTGCCCCCCTCCAGGACGGGCCGTGGGGAAAGTGTCACCAGAGCCTCTTCTTTTGGGGGGGGGGGTGTTGCTGGAGGCAGAAGGGAAAGCGCTCAGGGCTGGGCCCTATCAGCCCGGCTGCCTCCCCTCCTGGGCTGGGGGTGATAAGGAGCAGGACGGTCCTTGCCCAGCCGCAGAGGGAGCGTCTGGGGGCCACTGAAGGCTCTGGGTTAGGCCAGCCTCCCTCCTGCCTTCCTTGAAACGGGCGCTGCCAGCTGGCATCTGGCCCCGAAGGAGAAGCTGTTGCCTGGAGGGGGCTGTGCCTTTTATTTTATTTCCTTTTATTTCAGTTCAGTTCATTTTATATTTTATTTTATATCTTTTCTTTACTTTACTTTACTTTACCTTACCTTATCTTACCTTAATTTACTTTACTTTACTTTACCTTACCTTATCTTACCTTACCTTAATTTAATTTACTTTAATTTACTTTTTTACTTTACTTATTTTACTTTACTTTACTTTACTTTAACTTTACTTTACCTTACCTTAATTTACTTTACTTTACTTTCCTTTTTTACTTTACTTTACTTTACCTTATCTTACCTTAATTTAATTTACTTTAATTTACTTTTTTACTTTACTTATTTTACTTTACTTTACTTTAACTTTACTTTACCTTACCTTAATTTACTTTACTTTACTTTCCTTTTTTACTTTACTTTACTTTACTTTACCTTACCTTATCTTACCTTACCTTAATTTAATTTACTTTACTTTTTTACTTTACTTACTTTACTTTACTTTACTTTAAACTTTACCTTACCTTACCTTAATTTACTTTACTTTACTTTTTTACTTTACTTTACCTTACCTTATCTTACCTTACCTTAATTTAATTTACTTTAATTTACTTTACTTTTTTACTTTACTTACTTTACTTTACTTTACTTTAAACTTTACCTTACCTTACCTTAATTTACTTTACTTTACTTTTTTACTTTACTTTACCTTACCTTATCTTACCTTACCTTAATTTAATTTACTTTAATTTACTTTACTTTTTTACTTTACTCACTTTACTTTACTTTACCTTACCTTACCTCACCTTACCTCACCTCACCTTTACTGTATTGAAATTAATAGGGCCGCCCCCTCCCTTTCAGTGATTCCAGGCAGCTTGTGAAATATAAAACACCCAACCCAGGCAGTCCTCAATTTACGACCATCCATTTAGTGACCGTTTGAACCCTTCACAGCTGCCTGGTCACGCCGTTTGCTCACTGCACAGCTGTGGGGCTCGGGGCCCACTGAGGTGTTTTTCTCCTGAGGCTCTGTTCAACG